CCCAGCCCCCCTACCCCCTTGCCCCCCCCCTGGTTACGCCCCTAGTAGCATGGATTTCGAAAGTAATGCTATTTCTATAGCAAATATTATAATGATGCTCTATATATTAAATTCTTAGATATCTTCTTGATACTTTTTCGTCTATATATTTGATTGTTCCGAAGTCAAATGATGAATGAAATAAAAATAAATCTTTTGTCAAACTCAAATATGTTTTCAAAGAAAATCGTAAGTCTAAATTAAAACACAAGAATTTTGTACACCAATCTCTCCATTCAATCACTAATCAGTATTCAACGCCCACTAATTATGCTGCTGTGTCGTCTCTGTTTTTTTCATCACAAAAATTATAAACGAACCAAGATCTTGTCAATTAGAGATTTTAACAATCGGCTGAGATCACCATTATAGACAGTGATGCACAAATTCCGTCCCAGTACCATCACAAGCAAATGGGTACTGCCATAATTGCTGATTTTAGAAATAAGATAGACTTTTACAAAAGATTTTTTACTTAACCTATTATTAACTAGCATAGTCAGCTTTAATTATATATTTGTGTTTCAAATTTCAACGCCAACGGTGTTACTCTAACAAATCTTTTCATTTACATTCTATTAACGAGAAAATGATTTGAATTAGATTTCAGCCGAGCAAGACAAATCTACGATTAGAGCAAAGGAGGTTGAATATATAATTGTTTCCTTTTCAAAGCCTAATCTGATGAAATCATATATTCATTGAAAAATAATCAGTATTTTTTCTAATTTCACCTTTGAGTGAGACACTTTTTGTTCTTTCGTCGTTGTCTCCGAGACTTATTCTTATGATACATGAAATGAAAAGCTACCTATGTTGTTACTAGCCATCAATATGAACATAGATTCGAAAGAAAATAAAAATGTAGATGAGACACTATTCTGTGCACGCATCATAACTCAGGCACTGTTTTCAAAAATAGAAATTTTCAATCCGAACACTGTTTTGTATGTACTAGGTCGTCTTGAAATCTATCCTGTATCTTACATTTTTGTATCTCCATTATATTGATGCATTCCTTATTGTCGCTCTATTACTAGATTGATGAAACGTGCTTCACGGCTAGTTTAAAAATCTTAGTGAACGGAGTTCTTCGAATGCTGCGGAAAGAAATATGCCATATGATAAATAAAACTGATCGACATAATATTTCCTTGGACAATTATTGATGAGAAATGATTGTCAATATTTTAAAAGATTGAAGCCTGTCTAAGAAATCATCAGCTATTTTATTTCAAATAAAGACTACGGTTGGATTCGGAACACCCAAGAACATTCACTTATTTTATTATATTGTACTTTTCCTTTTTTTTACTACTAGAAAGAAAAGAGGAACACGTATGAAGTTATACCGTGCTTTTGAAGATAAAGTCACAGATAGATAGACAATAAAATAATTATCCTCATTAAAAGACACTATCGAATAAACCAATGAATTCTAAATCGAGAGGTTCGCTTCAATATGTTATAGAACTAGTCGAGGCACATCTATATGGTAAATACGTGATCGTATTTCCATAAAGTTTTGAAGGAGTTATAGTCAATTTACTCGTATGAGACGCTGTACCGATAATCATTCGCATTTCTGTTTTCTTTCGGATGAATGTTCATATTGATCAGCGATTTCAATACTTATAGGTTTTCATCATAAGAATCATAAGAATAAATTCTGTACAGAACTATGAAAGAATGAAAATGTTTCAAATCGAGCGTGAAAATGATACAACGCATATCACCTTTCATTTGATATATATGATTTCATCAAATTTGGTTTCGAACAGGAGATGAAGATAAAATGCTTTCTTACACGTGCCCAATTTGAAAAAGATACTCCAATGGTTGCCACTAAAGTGAATATTGATAATAAAGATTAAAAAAACTCGATACGTAAATATTACTTCTTCAGAAAAAAAGCTTTACATTTTTTCGTAATATATTTTTAAATGATTAGTGCTCATAGATCATTGTATCTTCTATGTACTATATTTTTTTAGTGTATAGTAACCTATATCTTTTACATTTTATTTCTAATTTATATAGTATTTGATCAGATTCTATATCAAATTAGAGTGTCTTCGAAATATGGCCGATAGTCAGATTATTGAAATATTTAAATGTTACATACGTAAATGAAGAGTGTCGTCGATAGAGTATCGAATGATCTTTAAGAGACGCTTATTGAAGAACACATGGAAACTATCTCAGATGTTTTATGAACACTTGACATTCTCGTACGCAATTTTAAAGTGATGATTCTTAAGCAGTTTGTCTTTATTTAGGTCTATAACAATATGTAAAGTGTAGTTTTAGAATTTCGTTCTCTCTCTCTCTTTGAAGGAATCATGCATTTTAACTTTTTTCAAAGGTATTTTTAATATTCTAAAGATCGAAGAAAATCAAATTCAAGTAGCTTTTATGTTAAAATTCCAAAAAGACGAAAAATATTAAAATATATAATTGAATGCACATTAAATTAATTTTCCGAAGAAAAGTTTTATGTTTTTGTAAATATTAGATTAGTCTTTTATAATGCTTTTTTTCATAGAACGTTTGTAGATTTTAATATTAAATCAATAAGTCCATTATTAAATTAATAAAAATATAAAAATAATAGCAAATAATAATGTAGAACAAACCAAGACATTATTTAAATGAAGATATTATTTTGCATGATTTTTAAATTATTACACATAATTATTTGGAGTTTTTTTCTCTAGTAATATGATCGATAATCGCTTCTGGTTTACAACGAACCACGTCGGACACACTACACTTAATTACATATGTCATTCTTTCTTTTTCCATTTAAACGTGTACAAAGGGCACTAGAGACTTTGTTTGGCAAGCAAACACTATATATTATTCATACTTCGACAATTGAGAAAAGTAATCAAGACAAGATAATTGAACATTAATTGTCTTGAAAATATTGCGTTTACTCTTGACTGTCATCGTTATAGATATTTGTGTATGTTGTTTTTTATTTAAAATAAAATCCTCAATGAACTTGTTTTTCATATTCTTGACCTGTGCAAACGTCAAGATTCATGCTTAGAGAATGATTTTCTTGTCCTAGAAATTGATGCGTAATGGTAAGAGTTTCATTAGGGAACGTAGATAATTGTCAATTTTCTTTCTAAACTCATAAAAGTGAAAACAATCTAAGAAAGAATTGCATTTTTGACAAAAAAAAAGATGTTTCTATTGTAAAATTATTCTTGAAAAAAAAACTTTATGATTACTGCAGAACATCTTAGTACAACATGAACACGAGATAGAGTTGGTGATTATGAGAAATAGATGATAAATTGTAGTATCTAATGCACTCGTCTCAAAACTTAATTTTATGATATAAATAAGTTCCATAATAGTTACGAAAAAATCTCATCAGACCAAGACATCATAATGAAGAATATCGGTAAATGTATTTTCGTTCGGTAATCCTTTGATAGAAAAGATGTTTTTATGATGAAGTCCGTTGTTTTTAGCGATAAAAAATATTCATGATCATGATATGCATACAGATTAGCTCTTAATTTAGTTTGACATGCACTCTGGAAATCAAACATTAAAATCTCTTCTTCATTGTTCAAGAAAAACCATTCATGTTTTCTAAGTATATTTATCTCTAATCTATTAAAGAAATTTTCAGAAAAGAACATATTATTCTGGTACGTCAGAATTTTCTTTACACCCGTATAATCTGTAGACACGTTAAACTTCATGTGGAACTTTCATTTTGTTTAGATTCACACGTTCACTGTAATTTTTATTAGAGAAAACCAATTGAATTATGAAATTGCGCTTGAATATTTTTTTATTTAGTACCTTTTAGAATCATCTACCAATTAGATATTAAAATACTAGAAAAACTTATTTTATCCAATGAATATGCATGCCACGGTAACATACAATATTTGCCAATTGAAACATTTCCCTATCCGCATATGTGAAACGTTTTGCCTTTCTTGATAGAAAGAGTCAAATGCTTGTTTAAGATAAAAGTTCAAAACTAATATTCTCTTTTTTTTTGCTTTCCCTATTTCTTCCTTTTTCTCGACTCATTTCATTATTTGCTGAGCAAAACAACCATCAAATTTTCAGTTCCTGACTTAATTTTAGCAAAAAATAGTAAAGAAAACAAAAACAAAAGTATACCTAATTAATATATTTCTATTCGATTTATTCAGTATTGTATTCGTTAGCTTTAATTATTGGCTAAGCCGTTTGCAACAATGCAAAATATAAAAAATTTTTCTACATTTAATGATTATCAACAATGTAATTTGGCAAACGATATTCTTCGTTATGTTGGTACATTTATTTTTCTTCTTGGCAGTATTTCAAGTATACTCAGTATTTGTGTTTTTTCAAGAAAGTCTCTTCGTAAGTTTTTGCTTTGAAAGTAAGTTTTTTGGATTTTCAAAATTGTTTTCTTATTGAATAGGACGAAAATCATGCTGCTTTTATTTCTTGATATTAGCAATAAGTGATTCAATACACTTATTAACAGTGATCATTGAAAATTTACCATATAGCTTTCAAATAGATTTAATAGTTATCCACAATAGCGTCTGTAAAATAATAATATTTCTTATCTACTTTTCAAATCATTTATCAAATATTGTACTTACATTAGCATCCATGTAAGTTTTATCAACTATATCAAATTTTTCATCCTAAAAGAATTCAGAGTTTTCTATAAGCTGAAACCAACAATGGGATTTTTCATAAATTATTGTTCAAAAAGAACTGATCATATTTTCATTTAAATGAATGTCACTTACACTTTAAAAATAGTTTATTTTAGTTAAAAACAAAATTGAAAGCAACATATATTTTTTCAATGAAAATAAATGTAGTTCATTTAATTTTTGAAAAACTATATCTCTTTCAAAGTTATACCAATTAACTATTCATTAAAAAGCAGCTTATGAATACAAAAGTTATTTACGTTTTCATATTTAGTATTTTACATTATTAATCTGTAATATGTATAACAGGTTTTTTCATCAAATTGAAAGTATCATAGATGTGCAGATGACTTTTCCTCTGTTTTATTTAGCGATCGATTCATTCTAATTCATTGTCCGTCAAAGTCGAAACGCTATTGCAACATCCGTAAAGGAAAATTTCTAGTTTTAATGAGTACGGTTATTATTTTCTTTGCAAATGGACATATTCTATTTGGTTATGAAAAAATCTATTTAAATGATAAACAATTTAATGATTCCTACGATTGCAACATACGTACAGACAACATTTTTTACAAGAATTTATTTCACTTCTACGATTCATATATTGAAAGTTTTTGTTTAATTTTTATTCCATTTTCTATTATGTTTGTATGTTCATCATTGATTATATATCAAATAGTTCAAACAAGAAAAACAATGCACTACAATAGAAAAGGAAGATATTATTATTATAGTTTTCATTCGAGAGAAACACGTGGGCAAACGTCTCAGACAACGTCAAATAAACAAAGAAAATTAAAATTACGTGATAAAGATATACAATTATGTTGGATGTTAATTGGAACAACATTTGCATTTCTTCTACTTTGCTTACCAACTGAAATCAATGATATATTTAATTATGCTGGTCGTGAACGTTCTTGCTTAGATTGGTTTCGTAAAGTTAATTTAATGCTTGTGCAACAAACTTATTATGCTGGACATTTTTATATTTATACATTAACTGGACAACTATTTCGAAAAAAATTATATGAGATACTTTTTCATCGAAATCATCGTCATCATCAGCCAATTGCTGCTAGAGAAAATGAACTTTCTTCAGCAAGACTTCGCACTAATTTCAATACTAAGTATCAAAATCGAACAAGTCAATCAGTACTTATAACTACTAATATCACAAATTCATCAACATCTAATTTTTAAATGAATCAAATTCAATCAGAAGATAATTTTGTTTCAAACGAATAGTTCAAGCTAGAGTCCTGCGGGACAGTCCCGAAATTTTTTCGGGACGGGACAATGGGATCGGAACAATTCGAAAAAATCCAATGTCCCGAATTTTTAAAATTACATAAAAACGTGTGATGTACTTTAAACTTTTTATTTATAATAAATATCTTAATGTTTAAATGGAAAGCAGAAAGAAAGAAATATTAGAAGATATGCTGAAAACTGTTCATCATCATTATCTTTTTCAGCGGTTCCTTCATATAATTATTGACTTCCTGTCATTAATTTTATTTTTTTCTGATGTTACAGAAGGTGTTGAGTCAGTTGAGTTTTCTTTCTTTGCACACTTCAACAACTAAAGTATAAGTTTCATTTAAAACTCGTATGTTTCTCTTAATAAATAACAAATTATTAATTTTATCTGTATATAAATGTGTATGTGCTTGTCCGAGTGTATGAAAATTAATCGATACGAAAATTGATGGACGTTAATTGTTTCATACGAAGATTAGTCGAATTTCATTAAAAAAAATCTTTCTAAGTAGAACTTGTAGTTGATAATGAGCTAGATAATGACAAGAAAAGAATTTTCACACCATGATAGACTAATTGTTGATATAAAAGAGAGCACATGTGTGCCAGATATATCGAAGTTATTATAGACATACATTACGTCAAATAAGCTAATACATTTTAAATAGCATCTATCGCAAAAAGCTCGGTTTGACTGATCCAATAATGATTAGACTAACATACTCTTCGTCGGTTATATAAAAAGCTAATATACTATGGAAACAGGAGAGTACTATTTTTCTCAAATGCCTTCTTTACTCTGAGCAGAGTTCAAAGTACCAGTTCCTATTTTAGATAAAAAAAAATTATTTTTATCTATAAATTTCTCGGTCAATTTTGCTTGACAAATTTTCACTCTTCTTTTTCCTATTGATCAGGTAGAAAAGGTCTTTTGTTTTGTTTGACGCAACAGCGCAACATTTAAACATTTTTTTGCCAACGGGACCAACGGGATTTTACGGGACAATTCGAAAAAGTTCGGGACGTGACAGACGGGATTCGGGCGCGACAAAGCTTGTCCCGCAGGTCTCTAGCTCAAACAGCTTGTTTCTGCTTACAACAGCAGACTTTGCATTAACATTAAGCGCATTTCTATTGATTCTCCTATCGAAATTTAATTTATATTAGTTACTACTTCAGACTAAAGTAGGCCGTGTTTATTTAATTATATAATTCATAGATTTGTGCTTCGTTTATTTTGGTTATTACTCTTGAAAGGAAAATGACTGAAGATCGAACATCTTTTACAGAAGATGATCTAAATTCTATAATAAAAGAATTTGAGAATACAATTCAACGTTCACAATTACTTGCATCTCGAACTAATCATATCAACACATTACAAACGAAGCAAATAGGTTTGTTTAATTATTTATAGAAACACAAAAAGGACGTGAACTGATCTGCAAGTCACACATATATATTAAGTTCAAAAAGGGCTAAAACATCAGTGGAAAACTTTCTTTAGAGCGATGTCAAACAACAATTGATAAATCCAGTAAACGTCTTCAAGATGTTGAACATGAAATTGATGAATTAGAAAAAAACTTCTGTATTCGTTTATGTTGTTCTTCAAAATCAAAAAAATCTTCATCGAAAAAGTCATCAATCAATAAATCTCGAAGAAATAAATCAAATTCAACTATAGGTCATATTGAACAAGATGTAATCCGTAGAAATGATGGATTTCAAAATCTTGATGAAAATCTACAACGTTTACAACATTTTAATATATTAATTGATCATGAAATTCAAGATCAATTTCAAATATTAGTTTGTTGTCTATTGCTATATAAATATTCTTATAATGACTCGCAAAATGATTTGATGAAGTTCATTTCCAATGCTGTTCGCTGTCTCATAAGCGGAGAAATCGTTTTCTGTAGAAGTTTTTGAAAATCATTCTTTCTTTTGCATAGACAGTCTCTGAAAAACCAACCAGGAAGCTCTTTTTTCTGTTACCAGCATTCTATGTGAATCCTTCAAATTAATAGAGTAAAATAGCCTCTACTCATTGAAATCTTTACAAGATATTTAGGATATTTTTACAAAGATATATTGTTTGTAGTGGTCATATCTTCAGACGTATGAAACAGAAAAAGAAAATGTATTTTACTTTTTCTTAAGATTCAACGATGGCAGTTACGAAAACTTGTCAAGAAAAGGAAAAGAATTCTTTCTGTCAGAGACTTTTCCCTTCTATCCATCTGTCAAATTAACCTAGAATCCTGATATTTTTAAAACTTTCCTATTGATGTTTTCAAGAGTCTGCTCTTGAAAAAACAAGCAGTTGTTGTAATTTTTGAGAAACTTGTATTAGAAATAGAAATAAAATTTTCTGTAGCCTGTCACTCTTTTTAAAATTGACGGCAGTGAGAAACAAACTTGACATAAATCCGTTCGAATCATTCTTTAAGTCATTATTGATCATAAAAAACACGAAAAAATTAACTTTTCCTTGTTTCAGAATAATCTCCACAATAAAGTCGACTGTGATGTATATAAATTAGCAAAAGCTAATTCTAAAAGCAAGCGTCTATTCTAAAATAAGAATATTATCGTAATAAAATAAAAGTGAACATAATATTCTCCGTCAGATTTTGTATGGGACTAATAATTTGTGTCTTTTTCTTCCTTAGAACTCCATGCTTATTGTCTTTTGCCTTATACAAATAAAATACAGTGAATGCATTTTATTATGACATCTTGATTAGAGTAATACTCTTGTTTTTTTTTCCATTTTAATAAAGATATGTTTATTATGAAAATATACCAACAAATTTTTTATCGATAAATAATGAATTTTAATGGAAACTTACAAAATATTTTTCTAATTTAATAAATAACAGATGTTAATATTCACATTGTTCGAAATATTTTCATTTAAAATAGGATACCAATCATTAGCCACTGAAGTTGTTTTTTTTTTGAGAGAATGTATCAAATTATTATTATAGCAATTATTTTTTCGCGAAGTGAATCATTACTACGTCCATATTCATTAATATCAAGTACAAGTTGGGCAAATAATCCTGAAACTTTCTATACAGATTTTTCGGCTTCATTAACACCTGATCAACGACCATCAATATTTCAATATAGTTATAATAATACTCCCACTTTATTTATATGTTATACACGTCAATGCTCGAATATCTCGATTGTTTCTATGCCTGGACTGTATTCAGCCCAATTTGCTCTTGCGGGTGTATCACCTCGTCGTATTCAACAATATTCTCCTCATATTAATGGTGCTCAATTTTATTTGTCGCTAGGTTATCGAACACCGAATAAAAATGTTGAATTAGTCACATGTCTACCATCAGATTCTAAATGTAATCAGCCATTGATTCAAAACACAGTAAATAGTCCAGGATTCGGTCAAGCAGGATTGCGTTTAACATTTACTCGAGAAGGTTTACCTATTTTAATCATACCACAAGCTAGTTATGCATCTGTAGATAATCGTGTCACTGGTTATACAGTTCAAATATGTCAAGATCCATCATGCCAACAAGGTTTAGCTTATTCGAGTGTTTCTTTACCATTTAATCTCACAGGAAAAGCTTATTGTGAAGGAACAAGTGTTGATGTTGCACTCAATCGTTTTGGTTTTTCAACTTGGTTAACTTTGTGTGGACCTGAATTGAATCTAATACATTGCTTAACTCAATCCTGCAATCAAACATCAGTAGCTTCATTTAGTGTTAATCAAAATTATGTTTATTTCGTTTATTTAGCTGTTGATTCTCAGTTTCGATTTTCTATATCGACTAATGGACAAACGTCACAATCAGGTATTATTTTTGTTTTTCAATTATCTGAAAATGATGAACTCTCTACTTAAGATATAACTCATATTCGATGTCTTGATCCTGATTGTACGAAATCTATTCAATCTCAATATGTAATACCGTCGAGAATGACGCAAAGGCAAAAATTATATGGTGTTCAAGTTCAGCACGTTATTGATCCAAAAACAGATTTACCTGTTTTTCATTTCATTGGTGCAGAATATCCATCGAATAAACCTCTATATATGTTTATTGCATGTGGAAATATTGAATGCACAGATATGACAAATATTGTAGATTATGGTACTCAGCTTGAAGTGAATCAGCTTCGAGTTGCTGATGTTTTTGTTGATGATCAAGGAACGATTATTGCAAGTTCAAGAGTTAATTATATAAAAACAAATCAAACAATGAATCTAATTGTCAGAATAGCTCGGATGAATGAAACAAAATTCAAAGAATTAGCCATTGTTCAACCTTCATTTTGAATCAAAATCATTTGGGAGACAATCAACAATTTCTATTTCTTTCTGACGATATTTTCTGGAAAATAAAAAGTAACAAATGAATGTAACTGATATTATTGTTGTTTTTCTTTACGTATCGACATGAGTCATTAAAAACTGCTCATTTTCTCCTCATGAAAGCACAAGCCATATTTCAGTTTTGTTTTTTTACCCGAAGTCAAATAACTAATATTGATGAAGCAGAATGTTTTTAGTCTAATCAGTATACGTTATCTATAATCCTAGGCATCTGCTATTTTTTCGTTTCATCTTTTTTTTAAACTTCGTCATTATTTACTCGCCGTATAAAAGTCGATTAGGGTACCAAACTTGGCAAAGATTTATCGTTAATGTTATTTTCTCTATCATCACCTGTTTTATTACTTTTGATATTCGTTCTAATTATTGAAAGTAGTACTGGTAATTCATGCAAAGGTCAAGTCGATCAAATTGATACATGTAAGGCTGTGGTTCAGTTTCCCGGTGATTGCGATACAGCTACAGTTAATTTAACTGACACTGATTATGCAAAATGTAATTCGGCAAATTTTTTTTGGTCTTATCCAGTTCATAACTTAACATTAATTATTCAAACACCGTTTACAGCACAAAAGCAACCTTATACTACATATTTCGATAATGAACAAATTGTATCTGGCATCTCACATGTCTATCGAATATTTAATAATCAAGAAACAGACGTAACAACTAAAGACAAAACACTTATTCAATATTCTGATGCTAACTATCAAGTTGTTCTCAAATTTCAAGGACCTGACCATTTACAACGATATGGAGTTAATATTAACTATGATGCTGTGTCAATGTAAACGGGAAAAAAATCTTATTCGAATAATTACTTGAAATTAGAAACTTAACAATTTGAAACTGAAGATTAACCGTTATAATTTAAATAAAGAAAAAAGATTCTTGCATCGAATGATTTCTTTTTATTAAAACAATGTTTCTCAAGGGGGAAAAGGCGGATTTTGAGATTTTGAAAATCTCAAAATCGAAAAGCATCCCCTCCCCTCCTCTGAATGACCTAGTTTCGACCTGAAATTCTTCCCATATATAGGTTTCATGGTTCATAGAAGATCCTAAAAGTTTCCACTCGACCAAATGTTTCCTTCTTAAAATATTGAATTTTCAAAAAACTGGATTTTCTGACCGTGCCGTGAAATGAGCATTTCTCGCGCATTCATTATCTTGGGAAGAAAAAATTCGTTTGCGCTGAAAATTTTATAATATTCTAAGCATCATGAGACTTACACATGGAAAAAAATTCAGATGGAAATCCCATCATTCACGTTTTGGATTTTGGGTTTTTCAAAATCCCAAATCCGCCTTTCCCCTTGATATTTCTCGATGCGTGCAATAAAAATATTGTTAATTAGAACTTTTTTTGCAGTCTGGCGGTTACCGTGTCTTTCAAGCATAGCTAACTTATAAAGAGTCTGTTATTTCAGTTTCTTTTTAAGTCATCTGCGACAAAGAAGGGGAAGTAATGCAGAATAATAGGATATAATTATCGTTTTGTACAGGAAAGAGAACCATCGGGATGGTAAAAACGCGTTCGTTTGTAATCTTAAATTCAAAGATGGTCCATTATCACATTATTATATTTTTTATTTCGATCTTTATTTAAATTGAAATGCATGTAAAACAGTAGACCAATATATTGCGTATATGTTTGATGAGATAAATTAGCGGAAAAAAATAGAATAACAAAAAAATTTCAATTGATTTATCGGAAAAATAAATAAATAAATAAGATAAGAATTTCACTTCTATGTCTTGTCGATGTATAATCAAGCAAAAAACAATCGATAGACATTTTAAACACGTTTATTTGAAAAGTTCATCTTCTGAGTCGTTAAGATTTGTCATTAATGGAATGTTTTCATTGAAGTTATACTGATAAGAAAAGACAAAAAATAAAATGAAGAAATAGATGAGATGGATTATTCATCATACGTTTCTAGGAGGTGCAGGTGATTGTGTAACAACTGGCGATGCAATACTATCTTGAATATATGGACGAGTTGATTGAAATAATTCTTCATTATTCTCTAGAATGAAAAATAAAATTGATACTGAAAGTAAAAAAACAAAGTATGATTTACCATCATCACTCAAAGTTTTCTCGTTTGGTATTTCCAAGTCCGGTGGTAACTGGCTATCCTTCACATCCGTGTTTTGATCATTCTTTTCAGTATCTTCATCTTTTTCTTCATTCTTGTTTTCAATTTCTTCATTGATATCATTACCAGCATGATCGTTGTTGACGATTTCAGACGAAGGTGTGGATTTGTTATTTTCATTCACAAGACTTGATGATATTGCGTCAGTTTCATTGTCTTAAACATAATTTAAAAAAACAATGATGAAAAGAAGAATTCACAAACTTATTTCAACAACTGATGAAGTCTGAGGTGTGATAAGATGAGAAGGAAACTAACAAGTAATAATTGCACTGAGTCAGCAGTGACTAGTCTACATTTGGGATGAAAATATTTTCATGATGTAAACTGATCAGCGCCATTAAAAGTTAAAACTTCATTAATGAATAGTTCTAGCGGACTATTTTATCAATTTAGTCTCATCTTGAGTCATGCTATTTTCAAATTTTACTTGTTTACTTTATTTTATCTAGTGATAATACTACTGTCTTAGAAAAAAAATTACTTTCGTTTGTTACGACGTGCAATATTTGGCTTTGGCATGGATTCAGGGTGTGAATATGGGGTATCCAATCATTCTCAGTAAACAGAAGATCATTGCAAGGATGCAACCTAATGATTCTTACAATTGTACTAAACTTTGTCAAATCATCTATTTTCAAGTTTAAAACATCCGAATTTAAACTTAATCTATTAAATATTTGTGAGCTAAATTTGTCTTAATTTACATCTAGAATATACAGAATGTGTTCTTTTATACACATCAATGATTATAGATTCCTTCTTCTGCATCCTAATTAGAAAAAGATCTGTGTGCTTTCCACGTCTTATGAAATATTAATTTCGTATTCATATGTGAATAGTTATCGAAAAATATTCATACCAACAGATGTTGTATCTTCTGTAACCATAACGATCTGACTTTGTTCCAGTGCTTCAGATGAATTTTTTGATTCCTGTTGAAAATCATCCATAGTATCCCAACCATTTTTTTGATTATTTGTTGACACTGTTAGATCAGATTGGTTGAGATCAGTTTTTTCATTTTGATTTTCAACTATTAATGAAATTTGTTCATTTTGATTCTCTATTATTGATGAAACTTCTTCATTTAATGTTTTTTGATCAACAGAATTTCCATTTAAGGGTTGATCATTTTTATCATTGTCAGCTGTTATTTGAACTTGTTCATTTTCATCGTCTGATTGAGTATCATCTGTTGATTGTTCATTTTGTGCGTCATCATTATCCGATAAAACTTTTAATGTTGCTTTCTTAATTACATCCAGTGAACGAGAAAGAAATTGTTCGCCAGTATATTGTTTTGTTAGTCGAATGCGAGCTTTTAAACGTTGAAATATAATATTAATCGTACGTTTGACTTGGTCATTGATTAATTGCGGTTGTTCATCATTCATTTCGACTAATTTTTCTTTCATTAATACAAGACGTTCTTGAAGTTTTTCACACTGAGAGAAAAACAAAAATAAAAATCTAAAGAAAAGATTGATTATGTGAATTATTATTTACTCGTTCTTCATAAGCTTGAAGATTTTGTTGGGATTCTTGCAAGTCTTCATTTGTTTGTTTTAACTAGAAATAAAAATCAGGTTAAAATTAGAAATAAAAGAAAAACACTTGATTAACTTTAATTTCGTTTTCATTGTGTAATGTTTTCAATTGTTCTAATTCTTTTACTTTGGAATTTAATAGACGTTCATGTTGCGCATGTTGTCTATCAAGTTTTTCTTGCCATTCACGTTCTAAATCTTGTTCAACTCGACTAATCTATTCGACGAATACATTTATTTTTATTCAATTTTTATGAACAACAAAAAAGTAAAACTAACTTCTTGATTCGTTGTCAAAGTATCATTTGTTCGTTGTTTACGTAATTTAGCTCTTAGTTCATCTAGTTCTTTTTCATATGATTGTTTTTGTTCGTCGATATCATCTTGCCAACGTTTACGTTCATTTTCGAATTTCGCTTTTCGTTCGTTGTGTATCTATTGAAACAAAACAACGTTTAATTTGTAAAATATTGAGTTTTTCTTTAATTTAAAATATTATTGCAATGGGCAAAAAATCAAATTTGGTGGCAACTCCATGAAAGGAAAACTTAAATAATTTTTTTAAACATTTTGATGATTTTCTATGGCGATAAAATTTAACTTAGCGTTATTTCTTATCTAGTTTTGTTTTTGTACGAAGTCATAGATATTCGATTTCAATTCAATTTAACTTTGGGAAAATCGAAATAAATAGTTTTATTTAGTTTTCGATTGCTCAGATTAAGTATCATTACGATTTTTCCTTGAAAAATATTAATACTATGAGATGCTGCATGCCGTTGAATACTACCGATTCAACAAGCTGATGCAGTAAGTTAAACTGAAATCAGCTGGGCTATTGAAATAATTAGTAATGTGTAGTATCTAGCATTTGAACGAGGACATAGCAACACATAGCTTTTCTGACATAATATAGCGATGAAAGAACCAGACACTGAATATATCACTGTGATAAATGATTCTAGAAGTACAAAATATAATAGATCTATATGATATTTTTCTGCTTTTCCCTGATATTATCACCTGATACTATTACAAAAATAGTTCGATCGAAGAAAAATCTACTAAGCATGCACTTTTTTTTACAGATGTATCGTTAATTTATCACCGTTTTTGTGTTATTCATTAAACACCAGTTTCCTCCCTATTTAATGATAAGAATAAAATTCATTGGAAAAAAGAAATCCCATCAACATCGTGTGATCTTCTTTTAGTTAAATCGAATAAATTTTACTTAAGATCAAAGATTCGAAAGTAAAAAATTGCTTTTGTATCGTTACTTAGCGTCCAAGGTGAGTTTACATGTGTTCTGAATTTCATGTAATTAACGAGATTGAGTTTTTAGTCTATTTCTGTAGAAAGACTGCATTTTGCTCTATTTGTAAAATAAATATCGTAACTCCTATAGGGAATAAAGAGAAAAGTTCATTTTTGAGTTTGAAGTTGCAACTTTGCATCGAGACAAACTTTGACATGAATACTTTTTGGTCAATGCTTAGATTTTGTGACTGTTCAGATCTTTGGAAACAGTCATGGTCATAGCGTGTTTGTTACATTGCTAATGTAAAACGGGAAATATTTGATATGTAGACAATAAACTACTCGTGTTCATTATTATCTCTATGTCAAATTTCAAGTCGAAATTCGAACCTAGTTTTTCTCATTTCGCTATGAGAGATTAAGATCTTAATTGCAAAGTAATTTATTAGTTAGAAGGCTATCCCCTCATAAGAAATCTTTGTAATATAACTGCTTACCTTTTCGAAATTGGCACAAGTAACTTTAGTTTCAGCTAGTTCTTCTTCTAATGTATTTAAATTAGTTTGTACTTGTTTTTTCATAGATTTTTCAGTTTTTAATTGCTCTTGCGTTGAATCAAATTTCATTTGAATTTCTAAACGTTGATGTTCCGATTTTTGTAACTCATCTTTATATTGATCACATTGATGCATTAATGTAATCAAACGTGACTGACTTTCATTTGTATCTTGCGTATATTTATTAATTTGTAATTGTAAATCAGCTATTTTACTTGTTGATATACTTAAATTATTTGTTAATTCAACTTTTTGTTTTTCTAAATCAAGAATTTTCTGTGCCGTTTGTTCGGATACGTTATTAACAACAACATTTCGTTGCTCAGCTGTTTGATGTGTTTGTTCAATTAGCCTATTTCATATTCAAAACAAAATTAAGATAAACAAAGAGAACTGAATTAATTACTTTTGATTTCTATCAAGTAATTCAGATATTTTTAGATTAAGCTCTTCAACTTTTGCAGTACGATCGAATGAATCTTTTTTCATAGTATCATTTTCCTAAGAAAAAGTTTTCGAATAAAATTACAAGAAATCAATCACTATTCGAAATATACTTTAACAATTCGCTGAATGTTTGCAAGAAGTATATTTGTTTCCATGGTAGGATATGTTGTTGAATTTTTCGTATCGAACTAAATCATTTTGTTCTTTTTCAATGTTTTGATTTAAAAAAAAGGACAATACTTTTTCATGTAATAAATCGATTTTTTCTGTTAGTCGATTAAATAATTGACGAGTATCATTTGGATATTGTTGTGGTTGTGCCTGTGCTTGTTGTTGCTGATAGAATGTATCTGTTGGTGGAGCTATAATTATATAAGTTAATTAGTTCTGTGAGTATCGACTTCTTTTATAAATTAGTTTTTTTAAAATTTGTCTTTATATCTTCATAAAACTTCCTGATAATATATTAGGGATATTCGGGAAAAAAAAATATATATATATATATATGTTAGGTATTTTGTTTTGAAGATATTTTCAACTGTATTGCTAACAATTAAAATTCATATTAAACAGCGAGAAGAATATCTATACTAAGTTTTCGAAAAACAAAGTTTAAATATTTTAACTCATGAATTAAGAATATTTTATAAACAACATATGGGATGCTCATATCCTTGTGAAAACAGACGGAATTCTCTTGCATGAGAAGTATTTGCTTTTAATAAGAATCATAAAAATGTGAAAGTTATCAATAATGAACTATATTCTAGCAATGCTATTTAAATAATATAATTTATGTTTTAAAAGAAAACTTATATATTACCAGTAGGTGTAGCCGGAAGATATTGTGAAGAAGGCCACATTGCTACTTGCTGATAAGCCATTCCACTCATTGATGAACCTGTAAAATACAGGGAAAAAATAGAAACTCTGCTTTTCAAACATTGTTTACCTGGCCGACTATTGTAATCATGTAATGGTTGCTGTACTGGGTATAGAAGTGGCTGTTGTATTAAAGAATGAGAAGCAGCTTGTTGATGATGAAGCTGATGCTGATGCTGATACATGGGCGGTACGAATTGAACTGGTGGTGGAATTGTTGCTGTTGGCATCTATAATAAATAGATAAATAAAGAAAGGAAGAAGACATTTTTTATCTTCGTTTTTCTATTTACAGATCTTGATGATACAGCATTTTGAATAAATTCATTATTAATCGAATCATCATCACCTAATGCAGGTAGTTGGTGTTGATGCGGATTAGTAAATGCACTTGTTTGATTTGAATTAGGAAGCATTGAAACTCCACCCATTTTGTTAATGCGTTGTAACATTTTATTTTTGTCATCATTAGTCTTTCAATAAAAATTCCTAATTTAGGTGAAAATAAAAATGAATTAACCAACTTCATTCTCTTCTGTAATTGTATGTTTTCGTTCCACAGTTGGTTGTTCTTCTGATGGCATTGTTATTGAACTAGAACGAGCTTCTTTTTCTCGTTTGACCTAATTTATAACAAAAGAAAAAGCATTAAAAATTCGTTGAATTGAAAAGAACACATATGTTCAATCGACATACACGAATAATTTCTATATTATAAAGTATTTTCCCGATCATTGTTATACGTTGACCATTTTTTTTCATTCCACGAATTGCATCATCAAATGCCTGAAAATTTTATTTCAGAAGTCAAAAGACAAGATTTTTTCCTTTGTTTTAAAAATTTACTTTGCCATTTTGCTGTTTACCAATTTTCAGTCTTAGTGGTTTAGTTTCTCCGCTCTAATAATAAAAGAAGAAAACGCTTGTTCTTTCAAGTAACAATAAACGAAATGAATTTTACATCAGCAGATGCAACTGTTCCATTTTCAAGTAACTTATATTGATTAACTGCTATTTCTGCGCTGTCATGATCAGCTAAAATTGAACCTTCACCTTCTCGAATATCTTGTATAATATAATCGAATTTAAATCCGAGCAAATAAGCTTTTGCCACGACAATCTAAAGTAAAATTTCAATTTTTCTTCTAAACGAAAATAAAAACACCGAATAATAACTTGTAAAATAAAGTCAGCAAGTGTTTGTTTGGTATCAAACATCACTGACCAATTAATACCACCATCGTCTTGAAACGCCAAATAATTATTTACTTGGCACTAAAATTCAATGAACTCGTTACTAAAAAAACATATGCATTAACAATGCATATTTACTGTGAAGACTGATGAAGTATTTATGCGTGCCGATGTAATATGTTGAGTTTTTGTTAAATATAGAATAAGTTGAAACATTGTATTATCCGTTGATAATATAGCAACACCCATTTTCCCTCGTGGCGCCCATTTTTGATCGGCACCACTGAAATGTTTAAATAGAAGAATGAAAAATAAAACAAAATAAAATTTACAGTGAAAATGCTTGAACAGCAGTTGCTGTCATGATCTTTGGTGGAGAATCTTTAACGAAAAAAAAAGAAAAAAGAAAATGAAGAATCACAAGATCTTCTCCGTTGTTGTTATTGTTGTCCTCTTTTTTTTCTTCTTCTTTTAAATACCTTTTTTAGGTTGTTTAGGTGGAACATAAGCTACAGTCGGTGCTGCTACTGCTGGTTCACTACCATGAAAAAGAGAAGCCAAGTTTCTAGAACTATTATAGGAAAAAATGAATTAATGATTATTTTTTTAAATACAATTTTTTAAATAAATTTTTAAAACCTTTGATTGGCCGAAGTAAAGTCGATATCATCATCGTCACTCATCATAAAGATCTGCAAAAAATAGAGACAAACAAAAACAATTACACTCACCTTGCCTCATTTCTTATCTCTTGTTCTCCCTTTTTCTTATGAGTTATCGGTTCTTTAATAGAAAAAAAGAAAAATTTCATCTCTGGATTTGTTTATTCAACAAAACGTCCAAACATGAGAATAGAAACACGAGCAAATGCAAAATATGTAATTGAAGAAAGGAAAAGAAACAAGACAGATAGAACAGGGCAAACGAAAAAAACTAAGTTTTATTTTATCAAAATGAATGTTTTCTGTTCGTTTATTTTGGATTTATTTGAAATGTCGACAAAAATCAAGAGAAAAAATGGAAAGTTCGCATATAATTTATTATTCTTATTGAGATCTGCATGCCTGGACACCTGGATGAGCATGACCTCCTTCATCATCTGAATCACCACCAGCTTCATATGCTTCTCGACGATTACCCCGTCGATCATCATGCGCTGATTTCGTTGTATGAAAATCGATCATATGGGCTTCTTCGACATGTTCACCTTGTGGAATATCAATATGTGGCCGCTTTGGTAAGAGTGATTCAAGATACTGTAAAAACAAGAAAACAAAAGTAAAGCATTGATAAAATCATCAAAATGATTAGTATTTACCTTAAGTACTTGAGGATCAGTAAGAGATTTTTCTGAAGGAAATTCAACATCGAATTGAATAATTAGATCTCCTGTGTCATGCGTTCGCATATTAATCATTCCTTGCCCCTTCAAACATCGATATGTTTCTAAAAAATAAAACATTTTAGTTTGAATTGATAAATTAGATAAACATATACCTGGCGCAATCGGATCATTGGGTGGATGTTTTAAAATAATTTTCCTTCCATCTAAATGTGTTAAGACAAGTTTAAAACCACATAGGGATTCAACTAAATTAATTTTATGTTTCATAATGAGATTATCTCCATTGCGCTGAAAAACAGCATGTGGTTCTTGTTGTAAAACAATAATAACATCTCCAGGTTCCATATTTGGTGCTTGATCACTTTCACCTGGAAAACGAACCTGTTGTTCATGTTTGCTACCTAAAAGAATGTATTTATTTTCAGAAAATCTTCATATTTAATATAATTAAACTAACCTGGTGATATAACAATTTCAAGTTTCTTCTTTTGATCAACTGTCTTTTTACCATAACAATTTTTACAACGATCTCGTTCATTGATTATTTCACCTACGGAAGAAAAATCAAAATTTATTTTTTCAAATTATAAAAATAAAATAATATTTACCTTCTCCACTACAATCTTTGCATACTTGTTGCATTCTTTGCATCATATTTGGACCTATTTGTCGTGTGACTATCTGAATACCTTGACCACGACATGACGTACATGTTTGTTTAGCACCCTCACGGCCCCCAACACTACAAGAATTTTATTGTTTGCAAAAGATTTTAAAAAACTCAAACTTATGACATACCCATTGCATGTTGGACATAAGACTTTACGAGATATTTCTAGTGCACTTGTATCACCTTTATATAGTTGTTCAAGTGTTACTCTGTTTTAATAAATGATCACTAATTAGAGAAATATTGCGAATAGTATGAATAGTTACTTGAGTGGATGTGCAATATCATCGCCTTTACGCCGTCGAGGTCTTCCTCCACCCATGTTTGAATGACCAAATAAACCTCCGAAAGGATGACCACCAAAATGATGGCCACCAAAGGATGAATCGCCACCGAAAAATTGACCAAGAATATCTGCCATATTTCCTAAATAATTAAGTTAACGTCAATACAACATGAATATTTCATAAGAGAATTGTAGAAAGATTTGTTTTGAATTATTTTCCTCACATTATGACTACTAGATTGATTTTGTTTTAAAATATTTTATATGCATGTTTTTGCTACTCATGGTTTTAACTAGCTTAAATTTGAGATATCAATTAATGTTTATACGAAGAAAACTACCATTACAGTATCGAATTATAATTTGTCTTTTTTAATAGTTATTTAGAGATATTCGGTTGTATATAACGAAAATTCAATTGAACACATGTCGGCTAATATATATATAAAATATTAATCAAAGTGAAATTTCTTTCGAATGCTGGAGAATCCCTCAATTTTAAATAATAGATTTTTTATCTATTCATTTTCAATCAAAAAAACTCTCTACAAAAATAAACCTAAATATATCTTATGTAATAAACTCGTTACATTATGTAAAATTCTTCTTTAATTTATTTATTAACTTCCTTAACGATATGTAATATGGTTCAGAAGAGAAACAAATCTAACTGAACACATCTATTCAAGTTCATATTATTTTCACCAGTATCGACCTGTGTAAGATAAAGAAGAGCTTATACGGATTCTTCATGTAAGACTTCTCTTCCCACCCGATCACAAGAATTTCTAACTGAGATTTTGCTCGTAAATACGTTTCATAGTTACTAGAATGATCATGATTCAAGCAAAAACGAATCCTATTCGTTTCAGATAATAATTTCAAATAGAAAAAATTGTTATTATACTCGTTTATGTGAAAAGGGGATCATGTTTTTAATATTTAATATCTCTACAAAACGAAGACCTAACGAGATGGATTGTTTTAGGTCATGTTTTGTGACCAAAAGAACTCTAGTTATGTGAAACACAACTTTTAAATCGATATTTATGACAAATAGTTAGCTAAGATAGAAAGCAACCGCACGACGTATTTGTATCCTGAGATCTTGAACACGTAGCTAATGTTTCAACTAAAATAACTAACCTCCACCACCGCTGTTGCCGCCACCTTCTTTAAGTCCTTCAAGACCATAGTTGCTATAGAAAAAAAGAAAATGAGTTATTTCTAATTCTCGGTAAATAAAATTCTAAAATCATACTCATAGATACGTCTTTTATTATCATCTGTTAAAACTTGATAAGCGAATGATATTTCTTTGAACTAGAACAAAAGAAAAAAAGGTTTCTACACCAATTTCAAACATAAATACCTTTTCGGCCGATTCAGGATTTTTATCTGGATGATGTGTTTTTGCAAGTTTGTGATATGCCTAAAAGAATTCAAACAAGATAAGTTTTCTTTCTTTTTATTTTTCCAACAGACTTTTTTAATTTCTTGTTCATTGGCAGTGCGGGAAACGCCAAGTAAATCATATAGTTTTGAGTCCGGCATAACGATCTAAGGTAGATGAATTTGTATAGCAATCTACAAAATATGTGAAATTTTTTATTTATTTTCTTGTTTTTCTTTTAATTCAAAAGTTTTCGTTTTCTTAAGAAATTAAATTAGAAAAGAAAATATTCTCAATGTGTTTGACAAGAATGAACTTTTGGTTGACCATCATTGTCCTCATCATCTTCATCGTCGTCATCATCATCAACGTATTGATCATCGTCATCATCATCACCATCACCACCACAACCATTCTCTTCATTACTATCATTGGACGCCTTCTGTGAACGATGTTTATTTGAATGGGATTCGCTTTTATAATCAATCATTGATGATGTTTCATCAAGATTAACTCCTGATGGAACATTTAACGTTGGTTTTGGTGGTAATATACTTTCTAATTGCTATAATAAAACGGAAAAAGAAAAGTTGAAAAAGAAACAACAAATTTTTAATAAATTTTTTAAAATACTTGAATAATATTTGGATGCTGAAAGAAACTTATTGGCGGGAATTCCACATCGAATTGAATAATTAAATCACCTGTATGATGAGTTTCCATACTGATCATACCTTGATTTGGTATCTTTTTCATTGAATCTATAGAAAGAAAAAAGAACTGTTTTTGCCTCTCTTCTAATATTGAAGAATAATAAACAAACTTGGGATGATTGGATGATCTGGTTGGTGTTGAATAAGTACATGTCGTCCGTCAAGATGTTGAATAGTTCGTTTAAAACCAGTTAATGATTCATTTATATTTATTTTCATTTTAGTCAAAAGATCATATTCGTTAATACGTTCAAATACTGAATGTTTTTCTTGTTCAATTAAAAAATAAATATCGCCAGCTTCAATACCGGGCTAAAATTAAAAAAAAAGATTTATTTTTTCTGAAAGAGAATAACTATTCGTTAGAATCAATTGAAAACTTACTAATTGATCGTTTTCTCCACGAAATTTAATTTTTTTTCCATTTGAAAATCCTGGTAAAATCACAACATCAAGACTTTTTGTTTCTTCTATTATTTTATTTCCATGGCATAGGTGACATTTATCTTTATGTGCGATTACTTCTCCTATTAGAAAGATAATGATGAAAAATTTTTATTTGTTTTTCTCTTAAAATGTACCTTCGCCATCGCATTCACGACATTGAATTGGTTGTTGAAAGGTTAATGGTCCCATATGAGATATTCCCATGCGTATGCCTAATTATACGAACGTTTTTAATTATAAAGTTAACAAAATCATATATTAATTTACCTTGACCATGACAAGCACGACAGTGCACTCGTTTTTTACCTTCTTTACAACCTGATCTAAAAATTAAAATGAAGAGTTTTAAAATAATTTAAGATTTTCTATAATACCCGTTACATTGTTTACAGATTAGTTTATGTGTAAAAGCTACTGATTTTGTTTCACCATTATATAGAGTTTCTAAACTAACTCTATAGTAAAAAAGGGAAATTGATTTTGAGCTTATTACTAAAAAGAATTTATATTCACATACTTTAATGGAATCACTTTTGATACACCTTTTGCTGGGCCATGATGATGATTGTGTCTATTCGATCCACCCATGATCAAATCAAATAAGCTACTTGCACCTATATAATAAAATTGATTTTTAAATAATAAATACAAAACAAAACAAAACAAAATTAAAGTAACAAACCACTGCTTCCTGCACCCATTCCTTCTTTAAGTCCTTCAAGTCCATAGCGATCGTAAATTTCTTTTTTATGTTCATCTTTTAATACATCGTAGGCAGCGGAAATTTCTTTAAATGTTTCTGGTGGTGCATCAGGATTTCGATCTGAATTTGATTTTGAAAACGATGATTTTGAAAATGCATAAAGAAAACATACCCGGATGATACTTCATGGCTGCAACTTTGTAGGCCTAAAATAAAATAAATAAATTAATAATAATAAAATGGATAATATACTTTAGCAATTTGTGCACTTGTTGCATCAGGTGAAACTTCAAGTAAATCATATAGCTTAGTGTCATGCATTCTTGATCTTGGTACGGGCATTGTGTATTTCAACGATTAATGAAAATCTAAAATAACACAGGAAAAAAATAATCTTGTGAAACGTATGTATGACTAATCAAATAAGTAGAAAAATCAAATAGAAAGCGAACATTATAGAACGAGTGAAGGTAATAGGTAGTATATAGTTTGCGTTAATGATAAAAAAAAAGGGACAAAAAAATCATTCTGTTTTTATGGTAAACTATGGAACCGTTCTCATTCGCTTTTTTATCGTTGAAATTCAAATCAATCAAAAAAATTATTTTTCTCCATTGAACTTTTGAGAATTTAGTACTAGAGTGTGAGTGACACAAGAAAGAGGTTCAAAAGAAAGATAGATGGTGTCAAAGAACCAATTAAAAACTTTCTCTTATGGTCAGAAAGAGAGTATTTATTTTATATTTTAAGGCAATAAATGTTATAATGAATTTTCAATAATAAAAGATACAAGTTCGATCATGATGACAACATGAAGATAACATTTATTTGAATAATAAATAATATCATCTCGATGCATTTTTTCACGTTCATCTAAGACATATTTCAATATGTATTTCACGAAAAATGAAAACAACAACAACAACAACAACAACAAAAAAAACTATTAAGGTGTTGACACAGGCACAATTCCTTCTGTTGTTATTCTCGATTCATTTTTACGATGATTTGGTTGAATAGATTTTGGTATACTGCTTATTACAGGTGTCACTTGTTCACTGTTCGATACTTCCATTCGTAACTAAATATTAAAACAAAAAGAAAGAATGAAAATTTTATGTAAAGGAAAAAAATTGTTTTTATACTTTTAAAGGATCAGTTTCATCATTTGAATCTCCCGTGGCACACCACATATAACAAAAAGTGGGCATTACAAGGGATAAAGTAAATAAAATGCCTCCTACTACAACGAAACAGACGCCAAGTAACCGACTAGTATCCAAGTTAGCATTGTAAGCAAGTGCTTGCCGATCAACAATGATAACGCGAGAATTAGCAGATGATGAATCGTCAACATTTATTTTTTTTCGCGGAAGGATAAAGCCAATTAAAAGTAGAAAGATACCACTTATAACCAATAACATGCCAAACCATAGTATTATTTTCCACCAGCGACTGGAAAATCTTGGACGATTAGATGGGATTAAGTATCTAAACAAAAATTAAAGAGCTTCAGTTTAGAAATAAAAAATTCAGTTCAGAAACAAAAAAATCTATTTATTTGGGCTCAATGATGTTTCCATAAAAGCTCTCATTGAATATAAAATCTAAATCAGATTACGTACTTATAATTAAATAGAACTTACTTCTGTTGATTATCTCCTTGTTGTTCATAATCACCTGGTCGATCATAAAATTTATCAAGATAAGATCGAACACCAAAGTATCGCATACAATCGACTCCAACCTCCATATTTATTCTAGTTTAGCAAAGATTACTGATTTATTAATATAATAATGTTTAATTGAGATATTTAAAAGAAAGATACACCATATATTGTTCTTTGTTACTGCTGCTGAAAGTTGACTAAAGCTTATTAGAAGAGTCTTTAGTATTTCTTTTGGGTTAACAGTTTTAGTTATTGCTCACACTCTATCACGATATGCTACATCCAAGAGTCGTGTCTTTCTAGTAGGCCCGTTCAAGCTTCGTAGAAGAAAAAAATCGAGAGGAAACAATGGATTTTTTCTTACTTCGCAAAAAACTATTGAAGAAAAAAAAAAGAAAAATATCGTCTCTTTTTCTTCTTCTCTTTCTTTAGTTCTTCGCCCACATATTCTTAATATATATGTTTCTGTTAGATTAATGCTTTCATGTAGCTATGTGCGTTCAGCGTTTCTTCTTCACTTTTTTCCCTACAGTTCTTGCTTTTCTCGTTACTTTCCGTCTTGAATGGAGCGCAAAAAAGAACGCTCAAGTATTCCACCCACACTTCTCCGCCCACCTATTTGTCACTAATGAAATTCTTGTTTTTCTCGCAACAAGGCCATACAGAACGTGGAGACATACTTAAATACAAGGCTCGTGCCAATTAATGTTGAAGAAACTGTATTGGTTAATGAAAACGCACATTTTTTCCAACCTTTGTTTTTTAATTGTTGTCATAATTAGCTCTAGTTAATTAATTGAACTATCATTTTTATTATACTTTAATTTTTAAAACTCTACCTTGTACAATACTAGTTGATTTATTCAATAGAAAAACCAATCAATTAATTAGATTGAAATTAAAATCTCATTAAAATAAGTTAATAATCTTAAATCGTTTGCAAAGATTATGGTTTATGTAGGGTTTCATTCATTTTCTTTAAATATGAATTATCATTGTTATTTCAATATAAAAATATATTGTGATTAATACATTTTTAATTTCATCGTACTCATAATTTTAATTAAAAATATGAAATATCAATGGAAATTTCATTTTTTTTAAATTTCAATACACATAATTGAATAATTTAAACATCAGAATATACAAATCCTTTTCTAAAAAAAGCTTTTAGGCATAATAATCTACTCATCATTTCTATTTTTGGTCCTAGTTAGTAAATAATATCTTCGTTAAAAACAAACATCGATTAATTTCCAAAAATAAATCAAAATTGAAGCATGATTAGAATGTTTCAAAGAAAAAGTTAAAGAACAATACTTCATTCGAGAATACAAACTGAAAATTATATATGAAATTTTCTGAGTAATTAATCTATGTTGAACTAGTTTAGTAACATTACAAGGTATGGTTTCAAGGATTTCAAATTACATGATTTTGTGCAATTGTTAGAGATGAGCAACTATGAGAGACTTGCCACAGTATATTATCGGTAATAATAAAATAGAAAACCTGAAATAACTCTAAGTCAATCGATGATAATTGAAAATTTTTTTTTGTGACATGTAATCGTGAATAATAAATATATGGAATATTTTCATTAAATCAATCAAATTTTATCAAGTGATGTTAAGTCTGACATTGTTGTTTTCATGTTGACACTTAAATCCTTCTCAGGTAGTCAAATGAGTTACGAAGCTAAATAATTATTTACTTTACATTTTATTTTGTAGCCAGTAAAAAATCTGAAAAATACTTATTTTATCTGAATTAGATTTAATTACAAATTATCTATTTATCATCATAAAAAAGTATCAGATCTTTTTAATTATGAAAATTTCAAATTATTGATAATACGATTTTGTCTTTCATTGCAACAATATATTATGTTGTTGGGCTAGTAAAAGCAAAATTGCAAACTCAAGGTTAAAGCATATGACGAGAATATTGAATCCATCGCATGCTCCTTTATAGACCGTGATTGATAGATAGATCAGATGAAATTTTCTATTATCATAGATAGTCAGAGACAGGTCTAAACAAATTCTAATATGTCACACATCATGAAAAATAAATAGGCAGTAGTTCTACTGCATCACAGTTTTTAATATACATGTTACTAAACCATTCATGGACTTCTTGAACAAATAAATTCTTAGTTGAGAAATTAAAAACGAGAGCCTACCAGCAAGTCTGCCATTATCTAAAATAAGATTGCTCAAGATTTGTATACAGTTACAATACTTTTCATTTTCTGGTGTTCAAAGGCATAGAAGACTAACTATTATAGATGTATTTGAGTTCTTTGATTACCATTCAGTTGATTGTATAAACTGTTACATTTTTATCTCGAGCTAATTTCTCTAAAAATGTTTACCTTCTGATCCGATTTGTTGAAGATAATTTTTTTGTTTTATTTGATTCTTTCAGACATAAACATCGAACAATTAGCCGAGTTACGTTTACTCAGCTACAAAATAATGGTACCTTTCTTGGCCATTCCAGCTTGGTATTCAAGTTTGTATGAGATTGGCAACTAGCCTACTGATAGAAGCAAGAAAATGATTGTCTCATATATGTAGTAGTACAAATATATGATGATATGAATTTTACACGTACTGCGACATGTGCATTGTCGCTTACAATAAATGAGTTCTTTCCTTCCTTTTGCTTCTATAGGAAAATCTAGACCAATAAAAACTGAGTGTATAACTCGTTGACTGTGACAGTTTTGATGAAGTTCAGCACTTGCATATCCAATGCAATCGAATTAGATCTAGCAACAATTTGAAATGAAATAGTTCATTCGCATACATCTGGTTTGAATTCCAATTGATTGAAATTAGTCAAAAGACGATGCGATACATTAAAGTATTGAGCCATGTTCGGAAAGTGCTCTTTTATATTATTACCAACAGATATAATTCAGCGCGTGTTGGCTATTGTTAGTAGACGAGTATCGTTTTAGATAGAAAGAAATCGAAAAATTTTCTATGTGTAGTGAATCACACCATTAAATCTGCTCATATTTCTTGAAATTGTGAGAATATTCTTATCAAAACATGATTCATAGGACAACTTATGATGATGAAAGTGCGCAACGGCTAAAGATGTTTATAGTGGATATAATGCTTTCTAGCGAGATTTTTCGTGTGATCATCGTTTTATTGCTGAGACTTTTCATAATACACTGCAGTCAAGCTCACATGTACGCACAATGGGAATTATACTATCTCATATACCGAGATGCGAATCAACGACAGCGTGCATCGTTTTTAAGACTACGTCATCCAGATAGAAAATTGCACATATTCTTACATATGTAGACACCCATTTGATACTCAAACATGTCCCTAGATCTTAAGTACTGTGTTTTGGATACTTAGTCAAGTTTTACAAAAATATTAGCATTTCCCTTCTAATGAGACTAATGTCTTCATTGGAAACATTTGATTATGAAATGTGGCTAATATTCGACATAAATTTTCTTTAAAAATGCGATAGTTTTATTAATTGATTCACTTGAACAGAATGTTGAATGAATACGTTAGGGTGTACATGATGTATATAGTTTTACCTTTTGTACTTTGACATAATTACATTTTGCTTTGCTTTCATTTTTACGAAAAGCTTGAAATTACTTGCAATATGAGAGATTTATTTAAAAAAATATTTACCGATGGATTTCATCGGTTGAAAAACTTTAACTTTTATGTTAATTCAATCTCGACTATTCAACATTATAATAAAAATAAGAAATGTCATTCACATGTACGATGTTGCAATATTGACATTTTCTTCGCACTGCTGTGTTCTTCTGATATTTACTCAGTGCGATTCTTCTTCATGCATTCATTTATATTCAAATCTTAATGCCTCATAAGAATCCAGTACGATAACGTACATGATGGTTTCTTCTGTGTGTATTTTGTTATGCATTGCTTCATCAGTTCTTGGTGGCAACACTACCGATTACAACATTCATGGAACCATCACCCCTAGATGGGAGTTTGTTTTGGATCTATTCAAAGATAATTTTATACACGATCGAGATTTAGGTGCATCAGTGGCTGTTTATCATCAAGGTAAATTGGCAATTGAATTATGGGGAGGTTGGTTTGATCAATCGAAAACGAAACTCTATGACGACAATACTTTACAGCTAGTTTTTTCATCAACGAAAGGACTTGTGGCAGTGGCAGTTGCTATTGCTGTCCAACGCGGTTATCTCGATTATTCAGCATTAGTTACTCGTTATTGGCCAGAATATGGACAAAATGGTAAAGAAAATACTACGGTAGCAGACATTCTGTCACATCGTTCTGGATTACCAGATACTTCATCACCATTAGAGCAATATCTCAATTGGACAGCAATGATTAAAGAATTAGAGAAACAAACACCAGTATGGCCACCTGGATCAACTCACGGTTATCATGCATTAACATACGGTTGGCTTGCTGGAGAACTTGTGAGACGTACTGATCCCAAAAAAAGATCGTTTGGACAATTTATTCGAGAAGAAATTTCAAATCCGTTGAGTTTAGAATTCTACATCGGTCTACCACTTGGACTTGAACGTCGGGTATCGCCAATAGAACTAAGTGAAAAGTCGAGAGAGTCACTGAACGAATCGAATATCGCCCTTATAAACATGTTCAATAAGCCTAGTGCACATCAAGCAGAAATACCAGCTGGAAATGGAATTACCAATGCTCGATCATTAGCGAGATTATATTCATCATTAATTAGCGATTTAGATAATGGTAAATACAAGTCAATATTAAATGATGATATTCTGAAATTAGTAACGAAATCAAACACACCTAAAAATGAAATCGATTACGTCTATCAAGTACCTACAACGTTTGGTATGGGTTTTGTCCTGTTTGATGATATTTTTCCAGAATTTGGGCCTGGGACTTTTGGTCATACAGGTAGTACTCATAACTACATATATTCAATTGCTATGTAAAGTATGTTCAATCCATCGTTCGTAGGTGCTGGTGGTAGTATTGGTTTTGCTGTACCATCAAAAAATCTCTCGTTTGCCTTCGTTATGAATCGACTTGATACGACTACTCTTTACGTAGACATACGCATCAAGTCTATGGTGGCTAAAATTGCTGAATGGATTGGTTAATAGGTATTGTTCAAAGGGATACATCGAATTCTAAAATCATTCAACTAGATTTATATTCACATTTTTTCACTATTTTGAATGTTAATAAGACTGTGTGTAGTAATGGAGATGTAGCGAACTTTATGTTTATCAAGTATTTTATACGAAGAAAATTATTTTTTGGGTGTTCAATGAAAAAACTTCTGCAAAAACATAATGTAAATAATTCAGTTTACATTGCATAGAGTGATCGCGCAAAGACTGCTCTACAAAATAAAACAATTTTCAACTATCTATATACAGAACTGTTTGACAAAAATATACACACTTAATGTAAGACGCTAGGGTTACTTATTTAAATCAATTTTATGAAAACAGCTTTTCTATGCATTTCGTAAAGTTCATGTATCTCTATCAAATTATTCTGTTCGTAGTGGAAAAATATTTAATTTTCTAGAAAACTATTTTCTTGATCATTTTAAGTAGAATTTCTATCAAAATTTTCAGAGACTTTATCCTTCGACGATGTGAAACGATTTGCATTGCCGAAAATATTTGACAAAACATAAAGTTTGATAAATACATAAGTCTCTATTCGGCTCCTATTAGTAACAACAATAATGGAAAATTTCGAATGTAAACCTGGCTGAATAGCTTTCGGAGCCACTGTATATTGCCTTACACATGAAATTTCAAGCATCTATGAATAAAGTTATCATTGTATGAAATAAGTACAAGTGATAAAAAAAATGTATTAGAAGATCGAAACATTAGCAATGAAAATGATTTAACAATAGTCCTCACATCACTAAACACTTCTAAATGGCTTATATGATCGTAAAAATAGCTAAGTGGAGGCGATGTAAATAATATGTGAGTGTCTTTTGTATGCATTCTAATTGGTTTGAAGTGATAATTGATGTCTAAGGAGTACTATTGACAACAGCATAAATTATTAAATGTGGAGAATCCAAAGTAATTGTGTTCTATTCAGTTTGATCTCTAGATTTTATTGATACGTTCACACGATACTGGATACCGATAATTCAGCATGGCTGATAGAAAGACTTGTAGCGGGCGATTCATTGATAAATGGAGTTGAAAAAATTGTGATAGCTCCGATCAACTCAGTTTAAACAATTAGCTAAGAAGAATTTGACAGGGTTGCCTCTGCTTTAAACTACAAGCACCAAATCAAATAAAAAAAGCACACTCCATGCAACATTGCATCTATTATTTTATTTATATTCTATGCATTACAATATAGATAATTGAAGTATATCAAGTCAAGTACTAGCCTATTCAACGTAGAGATGTCTAGAATGATGTCACCCAGGATGCTGTTGAAGCAGAGGTAGCGTTAATCTTTTCAAAATAGATCCTTTCGTGTTTCTTAAGAAATATGAAAGAGTTGAAGAAGGATAAAATCTAATTTGTGTCGATTAAACAGAACTTTTCCACAAACAATTCCACTTTTTACTTATGGAATCTAACGAAAATTTTTGAGATTTCCATTTCAGATCCGTAACTGATTCAATGAGTTCTGTTCTCTCTTTTGAACGATAATTGTATTTCAATTATAATCACTTCGACATGTCAAAAGAATAATGATGCCTGACGTTCGATAGTAGTCTCGATCATTTATTTCGAAAAGAAAAACTGAGAAAGAAACTTGAATAAATTCTAGAAATGAATCTCTGCAATCGATACAATTCTTGCAAGTAAGAAATACAATTTGAGGTAACCCTTGTGATTCAGAATACTGATATAAATCCTTCCCAGATTTGTCCAGAAATCAACTCAATTAAGGGATAGCTGCCTAATTCGACTTTGAATATAAATGCAAATAAATGCGGAAACATCGGATTTGCATCCGATTGTTATGTGTACTACAAAAACTGAGTCGATTTATATATGTTGTGAATAAGACTGAGAAAAAGGGTTTTTTGAAAAAATCCCTGTACCCCCCTGCGATGTTTAGTTAATTCGGCAATGTTAGTTTCATATAATTATTAAGATTAAAACGAATAATGATTCTTCTAATAGTTGATATTTTAGATAGAATCAAATAATGTATTATATATATCTTTAAGCTCTTGTAATAATTTTCACACTCCCATTGAGAGAACAAAAATGTATCAACTAACTAGACGCGCCAAACATAACATAATTCAATTTCAAAACGCAACAAAGAAAAAGCGATGAAGACGAGAGAGAGAAAAAGAACATATAGCGAGAAACTCGCGCGAAATCAGAAACAAGACATGTGACGACACACGGGGCCGTCAAATCCCCCCCCCCCTCAGGGATGGTCTGGTCAATAATGATAATTTTTCCGATAACAGCCATTTCTTGACTCGACTGAGATATTGATGAGATCATTCTGTGTTCAAAATTTTATCACAACCAGATCAGCCTTTCAGAAGTTATCGTGTAAACGGGCGGACGGGCACACTGACCGAATCTATAGTCAACTCACTTTTGTTTTTTGAGTACACAAAAAAACCACTTTCCTGTTTTCACGCCACCGTCAGAAAAAGATTTAGTTTTTATAAATTATAAAATTTGTAAATTGACTTGTGTGCGTGTAGACGCGTTTGTCCGCCTTTCCTCACACCCACGCCCATATTCGGATTCCGACCAAACATAAAATACGTATCCCAATGCGCCATTAAAAAACTCACTAACGTTTCCTCTAATTTATAAATTCTATAATTTATAAAAAGAAAATCTAAATCTATATCATCAATTAGAAATGCACTGCCAGTTAGATGATCTTTTGCTTTTGCTTTGGGATGGTCTTTAAATGGGAGCGATTTTTTTTCATTTATTTTCGAATTGTGAATAGTTATTCAGATGTCAATTTATATTTGAAGTCGAACTAGGCATCTCATGCTACAACCACACCCGCACCCTGGATGTTGATGTATACTCGAATTCGAACTAGGTATCTCATGGTTGATCCGTAGTTTGAAAGCAAAACAACCACTCAAAGTTGTCCATTGTTTTGGATGTACATGTACTAGCCTATGCTAATCACGTCATAGTACAACTGTTAGTGAATCCAACTGGCGATTCATGAATGGAGAAAATATTAAATGAATTTTTTTAGAATCACAAAATCAAAAAGTTATGGATTCGAACCCTAATTTTATCGCTAAAAAAGAAGAGACTAGATGCAGCCAATAACCATCATACCATCGCTTTTATTCAAAAGCTACTATTGTTTTCTTTTCGCTTACATCATGTAGTTTACGCATTCACTCGTCGATTAATCTGATTAAGCTCAATGAGTTAGCGTACTCTCGTTTGGATTATGATGTTGACATTAATTAGTTGAAACTAGAAACAAAAAATTCTACTATCGTTCATCGTACAACTGCTGAGTAGCAACGACCTATCAGAAGACCTTTAAATCCTATAGGTGGATCTTAAGTGTATAAAGAGCGAATAAAATCCTTGTACTCAAAAGAAGTTATTATGAATCACAACTGGATAATATTCTACAGCAAAAAAATATATAATGAATCCCAATTAGATATGTGTAAAACCAATCCCGCTCCCGGTCATCGGAATTGTATCTGGGACCGGAAAAAAAGCAATCCATCACATTTCTAATCATGTACCATGTGTAATTCACAATGAAAATACATCACAGAATCGATGTTGTTATTTAAACGATACTCACGTTGACATTAAATATATGAACGGTTAGAAGGGTAAGTTCACGAAGATTCTTAGAGAGCAATATGGTTTATATCGCCCATGTTTTCTCATGTTCGACTATATTTCCCTTAACTCGAGTAGAATTATTACCGATTTGTAATGGAAATAGGCATCATCTGTTTTCTTTTTGGATGTTCAGCATCGCAAATGAATGATTTATCAGCAATACAAGATTACAAACGCAATCGACTATTTATTATATGGATTCGAATCAGTAGAATTACATTTTCTCGATTGCTTATATTTGAAAAGTATATTTCAAGTAACAGAAAAATAATAAATAAAAAAATGTGATCTGATGAAATATATTGGTTTCGAATGTTTTGAAATCATTCAATATATATATCGTGATCAACTTTGATTATTTGTATCACTACTGGCGTGTTGTTCATGTCCATATTTTGGTAAAATATTTTGTGGAACATCAAAGTCTAAGATTTTTCCTTGATGCATTACAATAATTCTGTCACTTTTAGCAACGGTATTTAATCGATGGGCTATAGTTAATATTGTTCGATCTTTAAATTTCTCTGCTATTACATTTTGAATTAATGAATCAGTTGTTTGATCAACATTGGCTGTTGCTTCATCAATCATTAATATTTTACTTTGTTTTAAAATAGCTCGTGCAACACATAATAATTGGCATTGACCTGTACTAAAATTACTACCAGACTCAGCCACTAATTGGTGAAGACCTTCTGAATTATTTGAAATGATATGTTTTAATTGAACGGATTCAAGTGCTAGAAGACATTGTTCATCTGTGTATTGCTCAAATGGATCTAAATTATAACGTAGTGTTCCAGCAAATAAAATTGGTGTTTGAGGAATAACACTTAATCGAGAACGAAGATGATGCAATGGAATACTTTTTATATCGAAACCATCAATAGAAATTCTACCGCTAACTGAATTCTGATCAATAAGACGAAACATAGCTTGAAATAAAGATGATTTTCCGGCACCTAAATCAATAGAAATAAATACTAATCATACAATCAGATCGATGAACAGTACCTGTTCGACCAATGATACCAATTTTCTCTTTTGTTTCAATATGTAAATCAATATTATTGAGAACATGATCTAATCCTGCTCGATAGCGCATTGAATACTGGCTAAATTCGATATTTCCATGATCTGGCCAATTGTCTGGTGGTTGAACAAGTAAATTAGTATTATTTTCATTTTCTTCCGGCTCTAGTTGTACATATTCATAAATACGTTCTGCACTTGTCATGTAATTTTCTGCTTCAGCTGATTGTCTCACGGCCCATTGAAAAAGCATTGTTAAATTAATACAATACATAAGACTAAGTGCTGCAGAGGACGGATCAATACGATGACGAAGTGCTATCGTTAAAGCAGATGTAATCAAAGAAAGTAATGATGTCATAAGATCAAGTCGTAATCCAAACCAGCGAACAGCAGCAATTAATATGAAAAAAGCACGTGAATTTGTGTCAATTCGATTAATAAATAATTGTATAAAATCTTCTTGTACATTGAATGCACGAATAGTTGAAAGTCCACCTTGTAAAGATGAAGAAAAAAGTGCGTAAACAGGACTACGTGTAATACTTTCTAATCGTTTTATTTGACGACTTGAACGCAAATAAAAACGACGGTACCACCAAAAAGCAGGTAATAGAGGAATAAGTATAAGTAATGCCCATGGATTAACAATGCCAATAACTACTAATGTACCTAATGTCATTAATAACAATTGCAAAGCATCAAACAAAGTCACTGGTAATAGTTCATCAATAACTTGTTGATCTTTACTTACTCGATTTAATATACGTCCACTCGGATTACTTTCAAAAAAACGAAGCGATGTATATAGTATTCCTGATAACATGCTGTTATGAAAATGATTCGAACCATGTAGAATTAAATGAAAGAAAACTTGAGCACGTATTAAAGCAATGATAAGTGTTCCTAATGTTAAACTTAGAAAGATATTCATGTTAATGGGTAATTTTTGTTCTTCAGCTGATTTTGCTGACCATAGACTAAGCCATCGATTCGAAACATCAAAAATGGCTTCACCAATAATCATAATTAAAATAAGTAAACAAAAACCGAACCCACCAAAAGAAGTTGAAGAAAATAATTTATACCATATAGACCAATTTACACTGCCAATGGCAGCTGTTTCATTAACTACGATTGGTTTATTATCTGTAGTAGTTTTGGATACATCAAATAGTAGCGGTTGTAATGCTTGTTCTGCATCGTCATCATCATTTGTTGTTGATTGCATTTGTTTATTTGGTTCTAGTTGCCCATCAGGATCAATTTGCCCATCCTTTAGAAATATTACTTGATCTATTGCTTCATGTAAAAAATATGTTTGATGAGTAACTAAAAGACGTGTTTTTTCTTTCAATAGTCCATTGGGTCCAATACATTGATCAAAAATTTGTTGAGCTACCTTTTGATCTACAGCAGCAAGTGGATCATCGAACAGATAAATATCAGCATCGGCATAGAGTGTTCTTGCTAAGGCAATTCGTGCCTTTTGACCACCACTTATATTAACACCTTTTTCACCTACCATTGTTAAATCGCCAGCGTCTCCAAATGAATGCAAATCAATATCAAGACAACATGCTTGTATTACATTTGTGTAACGTTGCTCATCAAGTGGTTTACCAAGAAGAATATTTGCTCGAATAGTATCAGCAAATATCCATGGAGATTGTGCCGCATATGCAAACGAGCCCAATACTCGTGAATCTCCATTGATCAAAGTCATTTCGCCTAAAATAGCGCCTAGCAACGATGATTTACCTGCTCCAACTGGTCCTACAATACCAACTAATGTACCAGATTCTATATTCATTTTAAGATTAGCAAGACAAATTGTTTTTGTCCATGAGAATGATGCATTATTCATTTGTATTACTGTTGTTCCTAGTCGTGTATCAGATATCTTTTGTTCTTGAATTTTTGTTAATCTCATAAATGTATCAATACGTTTTGATGCAGCCAACATTTCACCGAAACGCTCAATAGCAGTTGGTAAATAACTTGTCACTGGTCCTCGTATCATACCAAAAAATGAAAGAGCCGTAAAAATATCAACTGGCCTTAAATTATGATTCATAAACCAATACCCACCAAAAGTTGCTAATGAAATAAGTGGTAACGATGAAAAATATAAACCCATATTGATTGCACGCAAGCGACTAGCTCGAAGTATGCTTGCAAATTCATGCTGTCGCAAATTATGCACACGTTGTTCGATAGGTTTTTCCCAATTATACATTTTAACGATTTGACATCCATTAACAAGTTCATTGATTGCTTGTACACGTTTATCGGCACATGCCATTGTCTTTTTGCGATATCGACGAAATATTCGGCCAAATGCTAATTGCAAAGGAACGAGAAGAACGAGTATACCATAACCGAAAAGAGTAGGTATGATACCAATTGACTGCCATATTAAACAAAATGCAATAATCGCTTGAAGCGGTGCTTCCCATAGATAATGCATATATTGAGAAAAATCTTCGAATTTACTTGCATCATTAGCAACTAAATTAATTAGTTGTGCACTAGTTGTTGACTGTTGTAAAGATGCTAAATTGAGTGATAGTAAACGTTTATATATCGTTGATAATAGTGCATTGCGAATACGCATACCCATACGAGTCGTACGAAAATAAGCTTGCTGATGAAGTATAGCTTGTATTGCTGAACATAAAAATAAACCTAAAGCGTAAATGTATCCTCTGTAGTTTTCAAAAAAAGTTGTCGATGACTCTGAATGCGACTTTTGACTAATGATATATAACACAATTTCACGAAGTAGAAGTGGTTGAGCCACTCGTGATGCATTATACGGTAACAATAGAAATATGACAAAAACAGATTGCTTCCAAAACGCTTTCATAACTATATGCCATGTGGTTGTATTTGTCATCCATAAGTTATTATCGCTATAATAACTAAGTTTATCTAATAAACTAGAGCATTTATCGTTTGCTGATAAATCATCAAGATCTTCATCAGTTAAATCACGTTTATAACCTAAGGAAAGTACAGGATTAAGCCACCACCAAAATAAGACGTGGAAGAAACGTAAAATCGATGAATGAGCCCAGTCAAAACGACTTGATTGTCGTTCCATATTTTAATATGCTGATAATAACACTAATGTATTTTATTTATTCTTTGTGTTATTTTTTTTTTCTATATAATATTTAGTTCTTATATCACTATCGTATACTCCAAATATTGCAATATCATGATGTTGTGCTTTTTATCGTAGATTTTTCAAGTTGCATGACACATCTTTTTTGGCCTGTTGTGTCTTAGAGACATTTTGCATACTGCTTTTTTTCTCAACATATCAACAAAAGAGTTAAACTGATGGCATAAATTAAGTTTTTTTAATATCTTTGTTCAATCAATAGATAATCAAACTGTTTTTATACATATATTATTATGATTACAAAGAGTTTTACACTGACTAAACAATTGGGTTAACACATTTTATCGTGATCAATCTCTATTTATTACTTTTTGTCTATTACATATTTTGTCAAAATTTATCACAAGTGCCTTTTTTTCTTTTTATTTCCTGAGCATTTCTAGCCGAACTATACAATACACACGCTATTTACAAAATATGTATTTCCCAAAATGAAACTCTACGAAAGCAACATAAATAATTCAACATCAGCAGGCTACCTAAAAAAAGATTGAAAACAATTGAATGGATTTTTCTTTCAATAGTTTCTTCGTTAAAAAACGATATGCATTAGCAAAGTAATTGAAGAAATATTATATAAATGCAATAATGAACGCAAACTAAGTTGGTTGTAATTATTTCTAATATGGAGAATTGCATTGAGCTCAAATTCATCAAATTAGCTGCATGATATGTTCCTTCTTTTTAATTATATTTTATAAACCATATTCCATTAAGATAAGAAAACAATGCATTGCGATGTACTGGTTACGTTCTTATAAATAACCTATATATATATGATTATCAAAACATTTTCAATACGATCAACCTAATACTATGAATAAGGAAAGTTGGAAAGTATTTGATTAGAATTTAGAACTAAATTTACTGTTTTTTCAATAACTATGCTTATTTTGAATATATATTTTCAAACAGGTGATCAAACAGAATATTAATCGAAGCATTATTTCTGTAAGAATTACGGTATGTGGAACGTGATTTTTACTGATTGATTTCTCTACGTCGTTCTTTGCTAAACGAGTGATCGAATCTTATATTAATTATTGTTTTGTAGACAACCGCAAATAAATGAAAAAATTGTGTACTTTAAATTAAGACTAAAATATTGTAGTGACGCATTCTTCGTAAGGCATATTTCAAAGTTATGCGATGAGTTCATAGAGAAACATCCTTCCAAATTTGTTGTCGAATTCTTTTGAATATGTAGCATATTGTTTCATGAATGTGTTATAATGAAGCAACAATTGGAAATTTCAATCAAAATCAGCACGCACGGTGAAACAAATTCAACTAATTTCTATACACGACAAATATCAAATACGCTGCAATTTTGGATACTTCTTCTTTTTTGGAATTTCTTCTTTAATATGTTCTCTACTGATTTTATATCAATATATATATATATATTATTTCGTAGCGACGTCGTGCATTACGTAACCATGTTATTCTTCTGATCATTATGATAAATGTAACTATTATTCTTACAGATTTTTCTTGGATGCTTGATAGCTTTCGCCGCCCAGGACATATTCTATCAGCAACACAAGCATTCTGCATGACATGGTGGCTTTTCGATTTCAGTTTATATAGTGTTCAAACAATACTACTTGCCTGAGCATCCATTGAACGTCATATTCTTATATTTCATAACAATATGGTTTCAACAAAACAGAAAAATTTCTATCATTATCTTCCGCCTGTACTGATCATTGTTTGTCTATTTAGTTTCTGTACTGTCGTTATTTTTCGACAACCATATCATAATCGATTTGATTTTAAATCAGTTGAATGTGGATCAAATCCTTGTTTCTTAAGTATAGATATTCTTGCTGCATGTGAATCCGTTATGCATAGTGCTTTGCCGACTCTTATTATTGCCGTCCTTAGTATTGCTTTGCTTTATCGTGTCATTGCACATAAAAAACGACTTCAACAACCTATTCAATGGCGAAAACATCGACGCATGTCAATGCAAATTTTAACAATATCAGCTGTTTATTTATTTCTCAATTTTCCGTTAACAATAATTATGCTTGTGCAGCTTTTCAAGATACAGGAGCACATTTTGGCTTTGGAACTCAGCTTTATATTTTCTTTCTTGCATATGGTGTTGTATTTTCCCTACCGTTCGTTGTATGTATCAATTCTTTTTCTAATCATAAACATGAAAATCAAAGAATTGCTCCAATTATAAAATTCTCACAGCATCAACGCATATTTGTTAGAAATATATCAAAGGTTGAATGAATAGATTAGTGTTTATTTTTCTATCTCGTTTACAAAATAGTCTTATTTTTATTGTTACGTGTCTGAAATTATTACTCGCGTAAATTTTAAAATAAAATAAAAATAAGAATTGTTATGTTTGATAATAGATGTATGAAAAAGACGAAAAATATTAAAAGCTATCTTATAAATTTCGTTGGATGCTGTTCTTTTATGTATCCAAAATATATTTCTTCAATTAATTTTTCTTTGTCTCTCACTTTTTTAATAATAAATTTCTCGGTATTTAGATTCTACAGCATAATATAACAGTTGCACCTATTACTATAAACGATATACATTCGCCCATAGTATGTTTGTCTGTTAAAATGCATTTATCAATTCACATAATCAATCAATTGACTGTCTTTTGGATCATTGGGCTATGCTTCAATTATTCAAACGAATAGAGTATGATAAAATCTACGATGCACATTCGTTTTCACTATTGAGCTTACATCGTGAATATGTTTACGATTTGAACGGATTGGATAATAGGAACATGAAATTCTTCCAATTTTTCATGTAATATAAAAGAAATTGACATGAATCATCAAAACTCTTGTCGAAGAAGAAAATTTCAGACCGAATCTTACTCGTAATCATCATTTCTATAAGATTCTGCAGTTATACAGAAAATCAATCAAATGACCAAAAACTGTAACAGTATCAAATTTAAAACTTGAGCTCATTCGAACAATTAACTAGCATTCAACTGACAACTTTCAATATGCTTTTTTATAAGCTCTGACGGAACTCTTTTTGTGAAGGTATGCTTTTCAATTTCAAGATTGAAAATTATAATTATGATTCAATTTAACCTCTAAGTTTGACATGAATGCTAAAAGAAAAATATATAAAATATGATTCACTTCTTGATTAATAGTCACATGATTATTTAATAGCAGTTCATTAATTCATTAGGCAAATATGAATTTGCAAAAATATTTTTAATAGAAATCTTTATTGGCTAAAAACGATCTTTCATGTCATTTTTGCGACTGCTTTCTTTTTCTATAAGTCTCCATATTTAATTTTACGAACAAAAAAAACCATACAAAGTAGCCTTGTGTATAAAACGACACTCAGTAATCTTGACATTTCTATGATGAATGTAAGTAAACATATGATCGAAAAAACTGTATGCGAGTTTCTCGAGACAAACATGAAGAAAACATAGTGGTCAACCGATGCAAAGATTATTAAGACATAATGTAAATGAGTTTGAAGAAAATTTTCAAAACAAAATTTTCACCTGTAGGGAAACTTATGTTCAAAGCAAAGAAGAATGATAAGAAAATAAATTTTAAAAATTCGTTTCAATATTTTACAAAAAATTCAAAGGAAATATCTATTGTTTTAATTGTTTGAAAGTTTCCGGTAGGGATAAAAAAAAAACGATCGAGTCGACATTTACGAAGAAAGTATAAATAGAGGCATCATCATTTTTTGGTCAAATAGTTCAAGATCTAACAAAAATATTAAAGTTTTATAGAATTATTCTGAATCATGTACAACAATCATGTGTATCGCATCACTAATAAGAGAAAGACATGGTTTATTGATATCACATCAGTTTGTATAAATTAAACAAGTAAGTTTTCAATAGAAACTAATATATGTATATATAAGTAATGTATCAGCACGATCTTGATTTTATTCGATAACTATGAAACAACAGCAAAAAAAATGATTGAAATAATAGAATAATGTAATTTTTAATTTCGTCAGAAAAATCAGTAGTTTTAAGCAAGTTTAAATATGTTTTCATACAGAAAAAGAAACAAATATTATCACAAGATAAAAGATATATATTGTAACTCAACGAACAAGAGAAGTTGTATAATATTTAGAGGTTTCTTTTAAAAATTATTTTGCTTTGGTCGATTAAGCAAGTGAAAAAATATTTTATATTTAATGTTTACGATTGTTTGGCTTTTAACTCTGTTGGGATAATACAACGTGGGATCTCAACCATTTTATGTAAATTAGCAGCGTGTCGCTTATTATAAATATCTAAAACTTGTTTTTGTCGATCACTAAATGTGATTTCTCCTTGTTTTTCAGTACTTAACTCAAGATAATTCATGGCCCATTCAAGTTCATCGTATGTCGCTCCTATTTGATCTTCATCTGTTCTTGTATCACCAAATAAACCATCAGTTGGTGGTGCCTTGATTATCTCTTGTCCAACGCCTAATACAGTAGCAACAGCACGTACTTCAGATTTCATTAAATCAGCTATTGGACTAATATCAACACCACCATCACCTTCAAATGAAATATGAACCTCAAAGGTAAGAGAACGATTCAATTTGAATGAGTTTACCGTATTTTGTAAAGAAGCCAACACCAAAATCTTCGACTTTATTTCCCGTACCTGCAACAAGATAACCTTTAATTGACGCATAATAATATAAATTAACCTTTGAATAAGATTCAACTAAATAAATTATCAATGAAATATCTATAAAATAATCCTACCATTCTCAAACGTGACCTCACATTAGCAAATGCAATATCAGTCGACGAATTAACTTCATTAACTTCACTTTTTTTAACTGTGTTTTCAAATGTTTCGAAAACTTCAGTTAAATTAACTTCTGTACCCGTCACATTGGGAAAAGTTGTTTGAAGCCAATTAATATGTGCTCGACTTCTTTGTACTTCGCTTGATGATTGTCGAATTGGCATCTCGATGACAAGTACAGGCAAACCGGTACGAGCACATAATGTTGATACAACAGCAGAATCTATTCCACCTGATACACCGACAACAAAACCATTCGTATGACTAGTTTTATGATAATCATTAAGCCAATTTATTATATGTGCAATTACTTTTTCCGTTTGCATCGCACTCTGAATCAAATCTGAAATACTATACAACAAATGATAAGTTCGCTAGATAGATAGATACAATGATATATATATATATATATATATTTACTTAATTGTAATTAATTTTTTTTCTTCGTTCGTTAGCAGCTATTCTCGGATAAATAGATAACAAAAAAAAGAATAATAAGGTCATATATCACAGAAAACTACAGAATGAATGAAAGAAAATATACACTAATACATATTTCTGACTAGAAGATAAAATAAAAATTTAATCTGTAATTGTTTTAACACTCGAGTTCAATGTAATCGATCATCCGTTGACGATCCTAAAAAGAGTACAACAATAAATTGATTTGTCTACGAATAAAATATTGCTATTTTACGTGCATTTATCAGTCGCTTTAAGATTGACACAAAGCAGACTAGTGAGCAGCAGCCGTGTTTTTATTAGAAAAAAAGGTTATATTTTCAAGAAAACATACACAAGTAGCACCACGAGTCAAACCAAGTAAAGAACATAAAACAAATGACTCGGAAACAAGAAAAAAAACTCATGTTTTACACACACCGGACAAATCTCATAATATTGCACAAAGAATAAAATGTGTATTAAAAAAAAGCAACAGCAAAAGAAGCAGCGAAGCAAAAGAAATTTATAAATTGTGAACGCGGATGCAGATATGCACAAAAAAATGAATGAGTCATTGAACTATGTAATGGTTCACCTGATACTGAGAAATTTCGTTACAGGAAGAAAAAATATAGCGGCTTCTTAGATTCAATTTCGGCCAAAAAGAAAACAAAATTGTTTTGATTTATGATCACAGATGAAAAAACACTGAAATTAAATTTATATAGCAAGAGCACTTAGTTTTTCGTTGTATAAAGATATTATTTGATTTAAAAAAAGACGGTTTTCAATAAAATAAATCAATCGGACAAATATAAAGGTGACCAATAGTACAATGACTCATATGTGAACTAATTATATCACAATTTCGAACAATCCAATATGTCAAGAGAATTTGTGTTTATTTTACAATTACAAGCGGTAGTCTTCGGTATTTCCAGACTTACATTATTATTATTATTATTTCTTCTTGATTTTGTAACGATAAATGATCCATCATCAAACGTATCATCAAGAATACCATCAAAATGTTCTTGCCTTCGTCTCGATGGTTTTTTTGTTTGTTGTGTTGTGTTATATTGGTCACGTACAAAATTAACAAATACATTATCAAGTGTATTTTGTGACACACTGTAATCAGTGATGCGTTCATTAATCAATAAATTTTCTAGTTTAGAGAAAATATCCTTTAATGAAACATGTTCTTCAGCTATTTCATATTGTAATATATTTATATGACGTTCTTTTAAGATAAAATTTGATGAGAAACCATCGAGAATTGTTTGATCTGATGTTGTATTTGACGCAGATTTTAAACGAATTTTTATTGTATAACCATCACCAAAACGATTTTTTAAATGTTGAGTTGAGCCAAGACAACGAAAGCAACCATTTACCATTATGGCAATCGACGAACAAAGAACTTCGCATTCTTCCATACTAAAAATTTATTTTCAAATATTAAAAATTTTGTCTTCAAATTAGAGTATTATTGGAAAAATGACAATTCGGAATTTTATTTCTTCAAATAATCTGAAAGAGCTAGGAAAGTTTCGTTTGATTGTTCTATGGTTGAACTTAGTTTTGTCAATAACGGAGTATATATATAGAGAATTTTTCTTACATTTTCCTACAAGCTAGTGTGAGTTCTAATCTCACTTTTAAAATAGAATCTATCATTCAGAAAATAAAATTTCCTAGATGAATATTAAAATTAATATCATCAGACAGTGCTGATTATTTCAGGAGGGAACTTTTTAACTAGTGATCTTGTTTTGCAAAGAATGTTTCAAAATGTTTTCTATTGAAAAGATATATTTTCTGCTAAATCAACACAAGTTGAATGTACATATATGTGCTCAACACAGTATATTCATGATATCGTTTTAGTGAAACTTTTCACATCATATCATTTTTATTTGTACATTTTTGAAGTTTAATAACACATTTACTTAGATATTTTTAAAGATAAATACTTCTTTTTGTGAAATTCTTTCTTTTAAGATTTTATTGTCTGATTAAAGGACTAAAGCATTTCTATTAATTCATTTTATGTAGAACTCTTCAATATTTTTTTTTCTATACATAACACCTAGAAATGATACTCCATAAAATGAAACATTTTTCGCTAACCGTATTTTTCAAAATAAATCGAAAATTAAAAGTGATGATAAAAATAATTTAATACAACTAACTCTGTTATATGACACAATATAGAAATGAAAAATCGATGTTTTTGATATTGCTACAGAGTCAAAGAGCGTGATTATCTATCTCATTGTTTGATTTAAATATAGTATAATTTTTGAATTTATCTAACATAAATATCTACCTATGTGAAGTAAGTATAATTGATTTGCCTTCTTTAATTAAACGTCTAATAACATTCCATAGAAATCTTCTGGATGAAGGATCCATTCCACTCGTTGGTTCATCCAAAAATACCACAGATGGATCACCAACAAGAGCCATAGCTGTTGATAATTTTCGTCGATTTCCTAAAGATAATTTTCCAACAGGTACAGTTAAATATTCACACAGATCTAAGCGTTTTAATAATTGTAGAACATGGTGATTTTCATCTTGCCAATAAATTCCTCTTAAACGTGCCATTAATGACATATGTTCAACAGGTGTTAATTCATCAAAAAGTGCATCAAATTGTGGACAATAACCAATATATTTAAAAACTTGTCGTTTTTGTTTCATACTATCAAAACCATGAATTTGAGCATAACCAGCTGTTGGATAAAGATCACCGATTAACATTCGAAATGTTGTTGTTTTACCAGCTCCGTTAACTCCACATAAGCCAAAACATTCTCCAGAACGAATTCCCAAACATAAATTGTTAACAGCGATTAATTTTTTATGCCTTTTTGTACGATAACATTTTGATAAATTCGACATAACTAATATATTATCATCAATAGTTTTATTTACTACTTGTCTACGAATTTGTGCAACATCTTCATCCTCATCTAGGTGTGAAAATGGTAATGCATCTGGAACGTTTGGAGAATAAAAAAATCCATATTCAAGTAATAATGTTAAAATCCAAAATACCAAACCGCATATTGCCATTGAAACTAAATTTGATACTGTTATATCCCACATAAATGGAGTACGAATACGATCAGTTAAACCAGTTTTCTTATAGAATGAATTGTAATAATCCTATTAAAATGAAATATTTCGTAATATTTACAGATAAAAGTATCGTTGTTACTTTTTAATCTCGAACAAAAAAAAACTATGATATTCAATTAAGATCTAATTTAATATTCTTTAGAGAAACATACATTTGCTCTGTTCAGCATAGATTTATACGCTTGCAAAGATTTTTTTGTTGCAAAATTAATACTAATTAGAATACAAAAAGATTGACACATTAGCAGACGTGTATCTTACGATTAAATACAAGAAAAAAGTCTGAAACTTAAATATAAACTATCATTTTTCATACATACTATAGTGAAATATTTTATATTGACACTTGAAAATCAGTTTACTTATGTTATTTTCCTCAGCTGTATTATTGAGAAAACAAAATAATAAGCGTAGAACATTTTCGACTTTTATACTAAAATAGGCGAACTTACATTATATGCAATATCAATTAAGCCTCTTCCCAAACAATAATTCGGAAAAATTTTGAAGATTTTTTTCACTGTTCTTGTAATAATACTTAATGTTGATGTAGCTGGACTTCCAAGCGCAAATATTTCGAGAAAGAAAGAAGTATATATACATGTAATACCACTGAATAAATTGATAACAATTAAAAATATATATGCATTGCTTGGTTCAGTAAAGCGAAAACTAAATGGATACATGACAGGAATTATTGACCAACCATACATTAGAAATAAACTAATAACAGCAAGAAAATTTTCTCCTTCAACATAAGCAGGAACATTGAATAAACGTAAAATCACTATAACACAAGCTGCAGGTAAAAGATAATTTAAAAGATCCCAAATAAAATTTGTTAACCAATAAACTAATGGATAAAGACCATTTATATATTGAATATGTTTAGATTTCGTTGCACGTTCATAAACAAGAAACAGTGTAAATGATGCTGGAACAAATGACATCGCTACAATTATAAATATTGATATGACAACATCAGATCCTTGTAAAATAAATTCTGTTGATAACATATTATTGGTTTCATTCATTGGATCTAAAGTTACATTAAGAATCAATATTTTATTTTTATTCCATTGAAATTGTTAAAAATCAATGAAGATTTATTATTTCTTTTTTGGATTAATATTAAATGTACGTTTTCTGTCATCCTTTGTGATGAAAATGTGCTGATCAAATGAATTTTCTTAATGAAAAATCGTACAAGAAATTTTTGTAAAGAGATTTCATTGTTTAAATATTTTTAAACAAGTTGTTATTCAAACTTATTAAACGAAATTACAGAAATTTTGTTATTCTACAGACTACATCCTTTGAAATTTTTAGTTGAATTTATAGAAGCATTGATTTTGACGTTTTAAAGTAGTTTTCACTGAAGATTTTACTTGTTTACGGAATATAACTTGATTTTAATAGCTACCAAATGATCTATTAATTGATAGCGATCGTAAGAATTATAAAAGTTTCAATTTTTTCAGCTGGAGTTTTTTTGACGAATTTGCAACTCTTGGTGACAGTTATTTTCAAAAAAAGAATTTTTTCTTGAATAGAAAGTGAGAAAATCGTAGTACAGAGCATAATGAAAACAACATTTAAAGTAGGGAAATCTTTCAATTATTTCATTCTTTATTATGTAACACCAAGAATTTATATATCTGAAGAAAAGAAATGTTGCCGTCATCGGTTACTTTGCAGTGAATCGGTTTACACTTCAATATGTAAAGAGATTGAATTTGAAAAATAAGTAGATAGAAATGGAAGTCTGTTTAACATTGAATATTAGGAGAATTACATATTATGTAAGATTGAAAGTTTAGTATTTTTCATTGATCACTTATTGAGTCTGAATTCTAATCAAATGGGTTAATCAAAAAAAGGACAACGCATGAAAATAAAATCTCATTCATTTTGCACCAGAACATATATTGAAATAAGCTTCTTTTATTTTACACTTACGATTAATTGTAGTAATGCCATAAGCAGAAGGCAGACCTTTTTCAAAAGGTAAATTAGCTCGTAGAATTACATTGGACATAATATTAATATATAAAGGTAAACTATGATAGCCTTTATGATTAGTAAATATTCTTGCAATATTTTTTACAGCTAATTTCTGTAAAATTTGATTATCTACATTAATTGGATAATTATTTGGAACATAATCTTGTTCTAAACCAAAAGATAAACCACCATAACGATCCAAATGATGATTATCGGATGTATATAAATAGTAAAGAATTTCGTTTTGTTCTTTTGTTATATTTATTATTCTATCATTTGATATTAAACGATATATTTCTGGTGTGGGAAATGTTGGACATGTAAATCTTGATTGATCTATTAAACATTGACATGGAGAATAATATTTGTTTATTGTAGCTTGATCTGGTTGATAACTTCGATTGAAAAATGTCTGATTATCTTCAAACATGTGTAACCAATTAATATCACTTAATGAGTAAGATGTGAAATCATTTTGATAAACTTTTTCACACAATGATCCTACTAGATTATCAAGTTTTAACATTGTTTCATTCATATACGGATTTTTAAGTAAACAAGTTGAACCTATACCAGATGGATATTGAATTGTTTCAGATAGGTCATATGGATTTGCATTTAATCTTGAGATATGAGAAATATTTCTTAACTTATAATCATTTAAATCCGATACAGGCGTATAAAGATAATTCAAATGTGAAAACATTGCAGTTGATAATATTATTGGGGGTGGATCAGCAAAACCAGGTGCAGTTAATGCGACAGTCATTGCAACAGTTATGAAAAATGCTGGTAATAAGATTTGTGTAGCTAAACCACGTAAATTACGATAATTAAAGATGAAACGTTTTATTATTATTGATAATGCTTGTTTTGCATAAAGACGTGCTCCAGTTACACGATCGTAAGATATATCTTAAATAATAAATAGTATGGAAAACTAAGAGAAAAGTCTAAAATTAGTGTTCATACTTGATTTTGAAATTGTTGAACCCCTGAAATACGAAGAAAAATTCAATGGAAACCAAAGAATTCTGATTAAAATAAAAACTTACGATGTCGATGTTGATATTTCCATGGAGCTTTCATTTGTTGAATTATTATTAAACTCAGCTTCAACGTCAGCTGCATTAGGTGATGATTTATATTGTTCTGTAACTTTAAGAAAAACTTCCTCTAATGAAACATCTTGTAAACCATAGCCTGCGATTGACAATGATTCTTTTCGTGAATCAAGTAGAGAAAAAAATTCCGGAAATAAAGGACGACTTTTTAATGGTAATACATATTTAAGTTCTCTTGAAAAACAAAAGCATTTTCTGTAAAAAAATTCAATATAATCGATCATCAACTAACTTTCTTGTTTCTTCTTTAAGATATGCTTTTGGTATGCATTGTGTTATAGTCGATGTAACTTCATTCCTTGAACTTGTCCATGGATCTATAAAACATAGGTTCTTCAAAGAAACCATAACAATTTATTTCATTTTCATACCGTTTTTAACTAATGTAAAAACGTAACCTTCGCCAAATGTTGTTTTCAGAAAAAGTGATGTTCCACAACATTTTAATTGTCCATCTGAATAAAAATAAGTCTATCAAGTAAATCAATATTTTCAATAAAGTTTTTACTCGAAATAATAGCAATTCTATCTCCAAGAACATCAGCTTCATCCATATGATGACTACTCAATAATATAGTTCGTCCTCGTTTAAGTTTTAATAATAGTTCCCATATAGCTCGTCGTGCATACGGATCAACACCAGCAGTTGGTTCATCGAGAATGATTGTTTTTGCATCTCCAACAAAAGCCCTTTGAAAAGTGAAAATTAATTTAATTTAAGCATAATCAATGAAATTTTAAACGAATAGTACATAGCAACTGATAGTTTTCTTTTCATTCCGCCAGATAACGTTGATACTGTTGCATTTCGTTTCGATGTTAAACCGACATCAAATAGCATACTGAATTTAGAAATAAAAAAGTTGCTTTTTTTTCTCACTCAATTGTAACAATGAATTTCTTTACTTTTCAATCATTTTTTTCATTTCTTTACTTTGAACTTGTTTTAGTTTTGAAAAAAATAATAAATGTTCTTCAACTGTTAACTTTTCAAATAAAACATTCTATTGAAACAAAAAAAACATATATATAAATATAAATATCAAAAAACAAACAAACAAAGAAATCATTTTTCATACGTGTTGAGGACACCATCCAAGATTTTTTCGTATTTTATCCATATCAATGTTTATATCTTGATCATAAATTGTTGCCGTTCCAGATGTAGCTGGTATTAGACCAGTTAAAATTGACCTGAATAAAAATTCATTTCTCATAGGGCATTTTACTTTTTGAATATTTATAATACTTACATCGTTGTAGTTTTTCCAGCTCCATTATGTCCAAGAAATGAAAGTATTTCACCTTCATATAAATCCATTGACAAATTTTGTACAGCACATTTCTTCCTATCAAATATTTTCGTTAAATTTGTTAAACGAACACCAATTGTTTGGCTGTTTAGATGATCATCACGTTCGAAATAATCTAAATGGATTAAAAAAAAATAACAAATAGGTTCATGTGATTTTTATTTAAAAAAATTAGACTATCAATTAGTCATTTATTTAACTCCAATTATTTGTCTGCTTCTCTTTGAGAAAACGATATGGTTAAATGGCAGATTTTGTTTTCTTTCAAATGTATGTCTACCTCCTGATTGAATTGTTTTATTTTATCTTGTTTTTGACATCTTTACTATACTGAATCTATTTTAATTGATTATTAAAATAAACTTACATCCACGTCAAAATTATGTTCGTCCCTAAATGAACTATTGCTAGATAAAACAAAGCAATTGATATTCTAATCAATAGACTAAACTCAAACGAGAAATTTTAATAATAACATTAATACTACCTTCATTTCTATTAGAATCATTGGTTATTGGATTTAATGATGATGACGACCAATGAAATTGATAGGACATATGATGTTTTCTACATGTAAACCATTTAAATAAACTAATTCTTTTAAATTTTTTTATCCAATCAGGCTCAACGCATGTTTCTCCAGTCCAATAACTGATAGTAAATGGAAAATACCATTTCTTTGGTATTCCATATGTACCTTTAAAAAATTTAATATGGCGTCAAACTAGTTAAAAAAAAACTGAAGTTTTTTCAAAATACCTGGATAAACATTTTCAATATACCACATAAGAATTAAATGAATCAATGTGTCGAATATCATAAAAAGAACAGTTTCAAAACAAGTAAAACTATCACCTTCCACTGGACTATATCGAATATTATCGAATTGAATACCTGTGCCAATATTTTCATAAAATGCTATATATTTAGCTCCCATACCAAAAGCACTTGTGGAAAATAAAGACTAAAAAAAAATAAAATGAAAAAGATTTTCATCATCACATTAGTTTAATCTAATATATTCTTCAAACTTACAGCTAACATTTTAGCCCATTTAGGTATTGTATCTTGTGCTAAGTCTTCTCTTATCGATATATACATACATGGTACATATGTTAATAAATAGATAATTCCTGAACAAGCAGCAGCTATTTTAGCTTTCGAATAGAAAACACTGACAAGAAATCTAAATAAGAATAGAATCATATAAGATATAGCATATACATAATAAAATTAGAAAAAAACTCCATCGCACATACGCAAGGCTGATTGTTGAGAGAGCATAGATTTCAAATATTAAAAATATTAAAAATGCATTTGAGTGCAAGAGAACTTTTCCATAATGTAAAATTATTGTTACAGCAATCATAACAACAGTTGTTTGACTAAATATTGTTATAAACCATGCAATCCAATGAACACCGTTGCTCAAACCCATAATTTTCATGACTTCTTTTAAACGAACTTCTTTTTCGTAAACGATACTTTGTGTTAACATTGCAAATGCATATACCCACGAGATTGTTAAACATAACGGTAGGGCATGTTGAATCATTTGAAGAAAACTAAATATTTTCATATCTCTAATTAAAACAAAAATAATTAACAATTAACAATTACTTACTTGTCATATGTATAGCAAGGGTAACTCATTTCTTGAAAAAATAAACCAGGCTCAATAACAGGTCGACCAACTTGAGTATCGATTATTGCACGATCAATCACTTCCTATTAAATATATTAAATATATTCATGGTATTGTTTCGTACTTATGATTAATAAATACAGAGAATAATGATTCTATAATTTATTTTATTAAAACTATACAATATTTTCATCTTATAGAAATTAATTGATAATTATTTGAACAATAAATTAAAATGGAATAGAAATTATGTTTTTCTGAAGAATTTAGTTTATAATCATGATTAGTTCGAATAATATACAGTAGCCCGAGACCAAAAATAAAATAGATTTCCTTCATATGTCACAGTGATCACCATACTTAGATTTGAAATTAAAAAAATAAACTATTACGATGATTTTTACAAAATCTCAAAGTAAAATGACAGAAACGAGCAAACAATAATCTAGTATGATCGATACAATGCTCATATTTGAGAAGAAAATAGCATGACACACTAGTTGTTTTCATAGTTCAAAGAAAAACATAAGAATTGCTAGAAACAACATAATGAGATCAATAATTCTCAATTTTAATAATGCTTAACATGAGACAAAATATGATCCAACAATGTATTTATAGTGTTCATAAATGAAGTATGATGAGTAGAGCAGACTTTAGCCATGAACAGATTGAATCAGTACATGCTCAACATCGACATAACTTATCATTATTCGTTAGGAAAATGCGTCATTTAGATTTATTCTATATGGCCAAAGCATGACTAAATGTAGATTTTTACTTCACCGAAACACTTTTTGTCTCACTCCTGCTAATCAGCTCAAATTATGTTCTGTTGTATGAACGAATTTTAATACTAAAAAAAAATCTATAAGATTAATTTGATTACCTGAACCCAACTAAATCCAAAATCATAATAAAGAAATCCACTTTGTGCTGGTGCTGGTACCCAAAATCGATCTCGAACACGTTTTGTTGATGGTGTCAATGAAGCATTTTGACGAATTTTATAGACTGTATTCGGAGGTAATTCCGTATCATTGAAACGAACATTAGTAAAAACTACGCTAGCAATAACAGTATAATTGTCATGATATGCTCGACGAAGAAAATATTCTACTAAATCATTTTCATTAGCAAATCCTTTGTATACATTTAAATTAATTCCTGATATAAGACTTATCCAACTGCAAGCTGCTTTATCGATTGTTGTTATTTGTTTCATATAATTATCTATTGATGGATCGCTGAGATTTTTAAGTATTTTAACAATTTTATCCATTGATGATAAGTGAATTGAAGGGCCAAATTCTTCGACGATTTTTTTCATCTAAATTAAATATTTTTTATTTATTAACAATAATAATAACATTGTTTTTTATTTATTACCCGTCGTAGAGAATCAACTTTTTTGTCTGTACCATTCGCAAGAAAATATGTTTTCAGAACATTGGATACATTTCTCCATTCAAATGCATATTTTGTTATTGTATCAAGTAAAACAAATGTTGAATTAGCTTTTGATATGACACCATCAATTAATGTTGAATTCGGTGCATATAAAACTAAAGAATTTCCGTAGAGAACATAAAATAAAAGACCCAATTGTCGTTGTTGATTATCCGATATTCCTAATTCAGCTAAAAATTCATAAAAGAAAAAATTAAATAGATTAATTTATTCTAGACCTCGAAAAGAAAACTAACCAAGATCAGGTAGTTGATCACCATTCAGTTGTTGATCAGAATTTAAATTTGTTTTTGGTCTAATACCGCAAATAGCTTCTTGCATTCCAAGCCATAGAGGGAAAAATCCTTTTTTAGTTTTTAATTTATTCATTGCAACTGACTCCTATGAACAGACAAAAACAAAATTAAGTTTAAAAATCTTACTAATAATTTTCATATCAAACAATATAACAAGTTAAATTCATTTCGACTACACTTATCTTCAAATATTTGTTGAGTAAAGTTTTCTTTCCGGTTTTCAAAGAGAGGTTCATATTTCATTTGACTTCACATATTTTGAATTATCTCTTCTCTAGTTTTCCTCATCTCTATGGGCTACATTTAATTGGCGAATAAGTTTTATTTACATTTGTGTTTTTATCTTCATGAAAACTATTAATGTCAGCACATGTTACAGTATTAAAAATCCATGACATATATATATATATACTATATCAAATTTTAAGTTCACTAGATTGATCCTTGACTTGACTAGGTGAGAGATCGACTCAACGGATTATATGATACAACTAACAGATAATAATGACTTGATTTTTATACGAGTATCGTCAAGCTTGTCTAATACGAATACTGAGTATATCTTCATCGCAGAATAAAAATTATTCATAAAAAAATAGTTGATATTTTTCAAGATTTTTTTCAAATATAACCTATTAAGTTTCATTCAAACTAGAAACACTAGTTAGATCTGAAGAAAAAAATGAATCAATCGAACGGGAATGTAGAATTCCACAAACTCTAATCAATACTAAATAGAAAATGGTAATAAAAAAATTATTTTATGGTACTGTAGACGTCTACTATAAATATACTATTCGATTTGCCAACCCGTTTAATCGAATAAAATCATGCAAAACAAAATTACAATTAAACCGTAGTGAAAATTCTCGAGTTTACCAAATCAATCTGATATGCATAATTTAACGAAAAAAATGACTAGTGCAATATTTTAAGTATTCAAAGTTGAAACACTATACAGCTACTTGAATTTAAAATGAAGAAATTCGCTAACAAATGTTTCAACGTATCAATTACTAATTGTTGCTGATCCACATTGGTAAAGAAAAATATTCATCATACTATTTAGCAGGATGTAACAACAACGGACTGAGCAAATATCTAAAAAAATTTTAATTTACTTCAAACTAATCCTATACTAGATTTTGCTTGCATGTGTATTTATGTGTCAGTGTATGAGCATAAAATGATAACACTACATGTTCAGTCGCACCTAATAGAAGGAGAGCGTACAATTTTTCAATCATATACTTCAATATTTCTTTCAAATCGTGTTTCATCATAAGTCTCACGTTAACATATTTTCGACACTGTTAAATAGCAGAAAACTCTCAATAAGATATTTCACACAGACATATACACAATTATCATTTTTTTCTGAAAATCTTAAGATTAATATCTTGTATTTACCACATTGCCAGTAAAGGTGACAGCTGGTCGTGATGATGTAGATGTTTCAGTATTATTGTGTTCATCTATAGAGCAAGAATTCGTTCGAAGAAGTTTGGCAATATCATATAAATCTCTTAAGCCTTGTTCAAACGCTGCATATTTTTCAAGCTAAAAGAGAATAACGAAACATTTTGAAATTTTAAAAATTTATTTTCCTACTTGAATAACGTAATCATCTAATTGAAACAGCATAGATGATATTTCTATGTGTTCCAATTGAAACTAAATCAACAAATTTCTCATGGGTAAAGTTTTAGAAAGATAAAAAGAATGAATTTTTACCGCATCAATAATTTCATCATCCGATATTGAATTCATAAGAAGATTGGATAACTCTTGATATTGTTCATCTGACATATTGCATAATCGTTGTTGGAAATCGGTCTAAGTGTTCGATATTAATTTATTAGAAAAATAAAAACAATTTTATATACCTTATTAATAGCTGTTGAGTTAAATTGATAAATTAAATTGAATTTTTCTTTTGAACAGAAAACTTTTTTCAATGTTTCACGATGAAAAAATGTTATCTAAACATTTAATGAATATTTAACATGAAAAATCGAAAAATAATAATTTACTTTAATAGCCTTTGCCAATAGATGAAGTTCAGCTTTAGTTAAATTTTCGAATGAATTCGTTGCAAGTATTTTTCCAAATAATTGTGTTACAGCGGAGAATTCATCTGGTGAAAGAGATATTTGTAAAAGTGAATAATATTCAATAAGATTTAAATTATCTTCAGTATCATTTTGTGAACCATCGCTTAAATTTCCAAATAAATGTGGAAAAACATTTTGTATCTGTTTAGAAAAGAAAAAAAATTAGTTAATTTCAATTGACTAATCCAAATGAATATGGTTAAAAAGAAGAAGAAAACAAATGTTACTCGAGTGCGAACATTAACAGAGCGTAGAAAAGTGTTATGTATTATTTTTGTTACAGCAAAATTTCCACCTACTGTTAAATCTCTTTTCTTTCTTGACTGAAAAGGATACATTTATATATATATATATATACATTTATTTATTTATTTATTTATTTATTTATTTATTTATTTATAGATATATAGATTATTATATTTTTTTGTCTTTTCTATGTTGTCTTTCTTACTTGATTAGTATTTATAACTGTTTTATTGAATATAAGTTCACATTCTTCTTTTGAATAATTGAGTTCCATGATAAAAAATGAACAAATTTTTGTTAGATTTTTTGTAAATGAAAAAGTTAAATTTGATAAAGAATCATAGACAAATGCTGGACGATCAATTAAAGTTTCATACATGTCAGGCAGAGAATCAATATCAAACATGGAAAAATTTTGTGTAAAAAATGGATTTGTTCGAGTTATTCGATCAATGGTTATTAACATTTCTGTAGATCTAAAACAAGAAAAAAAGAGTGCATGAACTTTCATTTGTCTTTGTTTTTAAAGTAGATTGTAAGGCATACGTTCCATTTGGGAAAATACTAAAACCTTGTTCATTGCTGGGAGCTGTTTTTGGACAAAATGACTGAAGAATTGAAAACACTCCTGACGATGGGAATGGTGTAGCACGGTATGTCTGATCGAGAAAATTTGACGTATAATTGGCTAAAAATAAATCATTCAAATTGTTCTATACTTTTTTCTGCCATTCAAAAAAGCTTTTCAACTACTTTGTGGATGAAACGAAGCTTCTTGCGTTTTTCGTATCGCAGTCATGACTAGGAATAAAACCAATGGAATGAAAAGTTCAAATAGAAGAACGAACTATTTAACAAAAAACGGAAAAAAAAGCTTTATTTATTAATGAAATTATACTTTTTTAAAATAACTTACAGGACTGCGCTTCTTTAATATATAATTTTTCCATAAAAGTACTTTGAGTTGATGAAGAAAAAGCATTTTGATAAATTAATATAATGGCTAGATTACTTCATCTAGAACAAATAACAGCATATATATATTTATTTATTTATCTATCAGAGACTAAAGAAAGTTTGATTAATAGCAGAATTATTAGTTTGTATATCATTTGATTCTGTTTGTGTATGAAGAAACGATTGTAACAAACCAAGACCAGGACGATGGTTCAGACCAGATTTAAATTGAGTTACACTACTTTCTACACATTGCTTATAAGTACTAATACCGAGAGAGAAAAAAGAACAAATCTAATTACATATTGCATATTTAAAAAGAAAATAGTCGTACGATAAAAGTGATGGATGAATAAATTTCTTAAAATTTTCATTTGCTTCATCAAGCGCATGTAACTCCAAAAAAGAACCTTCACTTTCGGAAAATTCCTTTAATAAGAAAAGAAGAAAAAATAATCAGATTAACAAAAAGAAAATATGTATATATAAAATACGCAAAATACAAGGTGGAAAAAGTCGATTCTGTGGTGATAGAATCATTGGAATCAGCTAGAATCAACAGAATCACTCGGAATCACTGAGATTCTTCAGTGAGTTCTAGTGATTCCGGGTGATTCTACTGATTCCATCGATTCCAAATGATTCTGTTGATTCAGAATGATTCCAATGCTCTGAATTCAGCTGTTTTCATCTTGATTACAATTAGTTTTTCATTCTGAACACGAATCTGATATTGCTTTTTGTTTAGTCATAAAAAATCAAAGAGAAAACAATTGATTTTATAGTACTGGAATCACACAGAATCAATGGAATCTTCTTTTTCCCCCTTAGCAAAATATCATTATACGAACTTTCATTTGAACAACAATAGCAACAAGTTTTCTAATCAATTCAAGATTTCCTTCATTAATAACCATTGGTGAAATCTATAGAAGAAAATAATTCTTTTTTGATTTTTAATTTAACTATGTTTTTGATATTTTGTCTCTACATACATTAAGTTTATTGACAACCTCTTGTGCTATTCGTTGCGATCTATCACACACAAATTTTGTATCATTGAATACTGCGAGTAATTGCTCATCAGTTACAATCTTAATTTTAAAAAAAATAAAGTTTATCAGATCTGTTTTTTTCTTTTTCTGGAAAAAATTACTTCTCGACATATTTTATTTATTTCTTCAATAAATTTTGCTAAAAATTCATTTAATTTTGCTAACCATTGAATTAAATGAGCATAATCTCGTCGAAAAATATCACTTAGTGGAATTTGTCTACTTAACTAAATAATAAAAAATAGCAAACAATTAAAAATACAAAATAAATATTTGTATTCCAACTTCATATTCTGCTTGATCATTCATTTTACGTAGTTTTTCAATTGAGTCACGTTTAGCACAAAGTATTCGTGATACTCGAATCTAAGAGATAAAAAGAAATACCAATTCCTTATCTACTACAAAGCAGCAAAAGTATACAATTAAGTATAATAATCGATCAGGTATTTTAGTTATCACATCTGTCTTTATTGTCGTTTCATCATCATCTGTTGTTTGAAAATCTTCTTCGTCGTTATCACTATTTAAATATATCTAGAACAATCTGTTAAAGAGAAAAAAAGAAAAGAACTGTTTTTTTTTACATACTTTATCTTTTTCGCCAAATTTTATGGCTTTCAGTTTATCAATAAGGATAATCCGTTCAAGAGGTTCTTCAGACTTAAATATTAGAAAAAAGAATTGTTTTTTTTTCATTCAAGATATTACTGTTTTTCTCTTATCTACCATAACATCAATATCATTGACACTAAATAAGTCAATAGTTGAGTCATCAAATAATATCTTACATAATTGATGATTATTTTCATCTCGAGAAATAAATTGTCCACGATATAAACCAGATTGAGATGATCGAAAAAGTCGAACTAAATCATCAAAATTCATTTTTTCCGCTTTTTTTCTTCTTCAAAATAAAATACAAACCAATAACACGACAACCTAATGGTAATGATGAAATAATCAATGGCGGAAGGTTATTTAGAAAAATTTTTTCCGATTGATAATGTGTTTTCGTTTCATTTTGAAGAATGCGAAGTAAATTTCGTTGTTTAGATAATTTGATTCTTTCATTTTTAAGATATGCTGATGAGAATCTATTGGCCATTAAAAATAAAAATAAAAACAAAAACATTACTTTATTTTTCACTTAATTAATACTGATCAGATTCACCTTCTAGGTTTACCGAATCGACGTCGAATTAAATTCCATTGGCGACGAGTTAATTCAAATCTTTTTCTTAGAGTATCACGATTGATTAACTCGGGAAAAAAATGTTCCATACAATTTTCAAACTCATTTTCCGTGCCAAGTAAACACCTTTAAGAAAGAAAAAAGAACACAATGTTACCGTGGTTTATGCCTCGGTATATTGTATAAGATCGATTATTGTAAGCACATAAAAAAATGAGAGGAGAATGGGAAAAAAAAGAGAAAAAAATTGTAGAGTAACGAAGGAAACAACGGTAGAATACTCTCTGCTTGTGTTTTTTCAATGTCTTAAAGGAAAAAAACCGAGAGTTATAACTAAAAGCCACTTCTCGGATATCTTTATGAGTTAAAAAGAAAGAAATGCATGCAACATTGTATTGCGAAATATTTACTACATCCTTGAACATCATCAAGGATATTTCATAAAGCAGTATGTTAAATACACTTGTTGTTTTATCAATCGTCTAAAGGACATCACATACACACATACACACACATTACTTAAGCATTAGATACGATTGTCTGATGTATGACCTCTATAGCAAGGACCATACTAAATGAATGTTACCATCAATTCGTAGGAAAATTATTTAAAAAAAAAATAGACTAAACTTGGTCATGAATATCTCACATAAATTCGAATGTTCTGAACAAATATTGACTTTAATTTATCTAGCCAAAGAGCACGTTTTTGGTCGCAAAATATCAGAAGAAAAAACTTCTTCATATCAGGTGACACTGGCAGAAAAAATAACCTTAACTGTTCTTGCTCATTTACCAACTAATGTTTGTCAAAAAAGTTTTGCTCGAACAAAATAAGAGTCACCTTCTCCTTATTTTGACGTTTTCTTTCCTTTTCTATGAGAAAATAAGCGTAAATGAAAATAATCATTGAAAAAGCAATGATTTCAATGTCAACCTCCCACAGAGATGAATATGAAACTGTGAGTTTCATAAAGAAACTTATCAACTAAATATATCTAAGAAATTTTACCAATCAATATCTGAATAAAACCATTCACAAATCATCCATCGTTGAGCTTTTGCATTGAGTAGAAAGTGTTTTAAATGATCAGCATTTATTTTCTATATAAAATTTAAAATATTTGCATTTGAATTCGAAAAGAATAAACTATTAAAATTCGAACCAAACAAGTATTTGGGGATTCATTGAATAGTATGTCAGTAGTTGTTGTCATATCTAACCTATTGACAAAGAGCTAAAAGAATCACCCGACAGATAGACATACGCAAGTAGACATAATCGTTCGCTCTTTTCTTATTGAATTCAATCGTAGGCCATCCAGATTTTAGCTTTTACCCTCTGACAGTGTCATCTTCCGGTTAATAAATTTCTTTTGAGCAAATAAAAATATCTCTCATTTTGAGTATTAATGAAAAATAAACCTTGTTTAAAATTGATCCACAAGATTGATGGTTGCGCTCGTTCATTCTGATTGGTTAAATGTGCAAATAAAGAGCGAATCTAAGAAAGAACTACTTAAACAAAGAACAAAGCTGCCTAAAAAAACATTCGTAACGGTATCTGTTTTCATTCTAAATCGAAACCATGTCTGCTTCACATGATGAAAGCCTGCCAGCTGAAGGTATGTGTATATTCAATACTTTTTTCGAGTGATCCACGAAAAATAAATTTTATATCGTTTTACTTCTAGATCCCCAAAATAATTCCTTTAGTCCTTTAGTCCCTTTATTGCGTATTCAATCAGTAGCAAGCCGAAAACATTTCAATAATTTAAAACCCTCCACTCAAACATCCTCAGTACCTAAAAATAATATTCAGCACTGCAAGCACAGTTGAAATCTATATTCTAATGCTTGATACGTTGATCTCGACGAATACGAAACATAAAGGGACTATGTAGATTGAAATATTCTAGCATATTTTGCTGTATCTTAGCATAAAAATACATCGATATAAAATTATTTTTTCGTGAACCAACGTGTTTTTTGTTAAAACATTGCTACGATTATGTTTACGTTGCATTATATCATAATTACTGCTTCTAGAAATAACTTTCGGTTTATTTCCTGTAAACTTTCTTGTTTTGAATGACTGATTATTATGTAGAAAATGTTTTCTACTGTTGGAGATCGTGGTATCGAAATTTGCTTTACACTGCGTATTCTGTTTTCATTGCACCACTTTCTCTTGTTCGATAATGTTTGGTATTTACCTGAAAAAACAGTATTTTTATCTGTATGATTAATACTTGATATGTTTTTGGCGAAATTATCGAAGTAGTAACTAAGACGATTCTTTTATTAAAGTCAACAAGTGTCACAAATGAATGTCATGTCCTTCCCCTTCATCTGACATGCAAACACGATCAAGTTTCTTCTAGCTTGTGTGAAAGAAATCCTCTAGCTTTTTCTTAAATCGAATTCTTTTTTGGAATAAATAAAAAACGTCGCTATTCTACCAACAGCGTTAAAAGTCAGTTGCTTATGCCAACTAAGCTTGAGAATGGATCGATCAATGCCAAATATTGCTTATGATCTGAATGGAGAGCAATCGGTTGAGTTACGTACTTGTACGATGTCACGCGTTTTGCATATATGTCAAACTTGAATTCAATTGAAATTTTCAACTTTTAAAAGAATACCATTCTCAAGCGTGATGACACGTAGATATAATCACTGTCAGCTCGAAAGTTTCAATTGAATTCAAGTTCGGCACTAGTGAACTTCGTATGGGTGGTAATATTAAATTTGTTTGCTATTTAATCTAATTCTTAACTTCTGAAATCAAAGCAATCTGTGTTTTATGAACGGTTGAGCCGATCTGTTAAACACTTAGCTATGAGAGAGATCAATTGGTATGCGACACATTAACAACAAATCTATAAGAAACAGTATCTTTCTTCACTTGTTCGAAGTAAAGTAATAGATTTAACTTCTGATAACTTAGAAAAAAAGTTGAGTTTAAGATGTTAAAATTGAAGTTTGAACTGGATAGTAGAGAAAACCTATCGTAAGTAGGTATGTCTAGTGTAATATGTTTATTCTGACAGAGCATATTAGTGTTTCTGAGCTGAAGAGAACTTTTCGATTTGACCCATGCGATTCAATTGATGATTGTCGCTGTAGAAACTTTCGAAAAAAAAATAGAAATGATCTTTAACAAAGCACAGTTTCGATAAGATTCCTCTCGCATACAATTGCAGATATGTTATCTTTTAGCTTGAATAATTTCGCAACAATTATTTTTAAGCCGAGCTAAAGATGTTGAAGATTTAAATTGTGCGTTGATGATTGTAAGAAAGTTGTTGTCATTAATTAATAACGAATATCGATTGGATACAAACCGTAATTTTCCATTTACACTTATATGATATGCATAATGTGTAATTACTTTGTTGATATCCTTCTGATTATTAACTAGTGCAACAGGACGCCGGTCACCAGTTTGAGAACCGTTCAGTGTTAAAAGCAAATTCTTTGAAGTACAAGCAACGATATCTTTGAAATCAGCTGGTGTATGTAGGAAGGATATGATTGAAGTTGATTCTCGATCAGTTTCAAATGAAAAATCAAGTTTGGCTTGAAACTCATGAGCTTTATCATTTATTCGTTCGAGTTTATTTTTGATTCACTCATTGGAAATAAAATGTAAAGATACAGTTAAAAAATATTCGATAAAATGAGCGAATGCGCACGCATATATAGATTCGTCTTGAAGGATACTATTACGTCGCTGCTGAGGTCACGATTAAAGTGGTGAAGCCATATGAATGTCTGTTTCATCGATCATATCATAAAGACCTTGGCCACCGGTAGTAAATTTTGTTCCGATCCATTTTTCATTCATTATTTTAAGTGTTGGTCGTACTTCGTAATATTGAGCATTAGTTAGTGGTTCCCATATTGATGAATTTTTTTCTTTTGTATGTGGACAATATTTCTCGTGAAGTAGAATCCATATGGTGGGAAATACTGACGTTGTATAAGTAGTTAAATGGTCAACTTTTGCTGATAAATCTTTTGGATCAGATAAAAATAGAAACACAAGTGTTGCAGCTGGTTCATTTTCAATTGCTGATACCATTTCAGTATGCGAAATATTTTCTTGTTTTAAAAGAACATCAAAAGAAGCTTTTAACTGATTGAAACCATTTTCACCAGCAGGATAATCGAGTATATGAATTGTTCGATTTGTCATATAACGAATATTAAGATCAAATGTTGAAAGAAATTGTCGAGCTATCAGTGATTTTTGTGTATCACCTGGATTGCTTTCATCCCAACGAGCAAAAATCGACATTTCACTACTTGAATAAAATAAAAATGGGCGATTAATTTTTAACTTGAGCGCCTTATCAAAAATTTGTAGACACTTCATCAGCGATATGATATCTAGTTTACCGATAGAATGTTTTTATCTCACAGTCATGAGGTAGATTACAATCTTTTGCTATATGAGATGGTTTTCAATTAACTCGATTATCTTATTCTTCTCTTGAACAATAAAATGTGAATTTTTGTTTAGAACAAATATTAAGTGAAGAAGAAAACGAAATCTTAGGTGATGAACGATCTGATATTGCTAGTGAAGAATCTGGCGAAGATCTATTTGGTGATAATTTTGAACGGTAACGTTTCTCTTACACTCACGAATGTCGTTGGTCTTTTCATTAAGTACTCTTTTTTTTTTTCTTAATTATTTAATAGAGATTATGAAACCATTGACGAATTAGATCGATATGAAGCAGGTGGAATCGATGATGATGACGAAAATGATACAGATCTTACAGTTGAACAACGTCGACGAGCTGAACGAGACATAAAACGACGTGAACGTGAAAGACGTCGTCGTCTCGGTCAAGAACTGAACGATGAAAGTGATCTAGATGAAGATGATCATATCATAGGTTTAAGTGGAAAAGGAAAACGTTCTAAATTGAACGATGATGAAATCGGCATGGATGATGAATCTGATGCATATATCAAAAACTTAGGTGATACTCAAGGTCATAAAATAGCTGATTGGGTACAAATGCCTGGTCCACACAACGAAGTTATACGACATTTTAAGAAATTCTTACGTACATTTAAAATAACAACAACAACTGTTGGTGGAACAAATAAACCGATTTATCGTGAATCATTACGTCGTCTTGTACAAGAACAAAAACAATCAATAATTATTGATTTTGAACATCTAATGGCAATGGATGAAGTATTAGCATTCTTTTTACTTGGTGCTCCTGAACAAACATTAAAAATTTTTCATGAAGCATTAACAGAATTATGTTTTGAACTCTATCCAAATCATCGATCAATTGAAAAAGAATTATTTGTACGTGTTAGTAATTGTCTACAAAATGATAATATTCGAGACTTGAGGTAATCAAACGAAAGTTACATTGTTCTGTTCTTTCTAACATGATATTTTTCTAGAGTTGAACATTTAAATAAATTGATTGGTATAAGCGGAGTTGTTACAACATCAACAGGTGTTTTACCACAATTGAGTATAATTAAATTTAATTGTCAAAAATGTGGCTTTACGCTCGGCCCATTTACGCAAAATCAAGAAAATGAAATCAAACCAGGTTCATGTCCAGAGTGTCAATCGAATGGACCATTTGAGCTTAATATGGAAGAAGTATTATTTGATTTACTAAAAGAAAAATGATATTTAACATTTATTCTTTTCTTATTTAAGACAATATATCGAAATTATCAACGAATAACAATTCAAGAAAGTCCCGGTACTGTTCCACCAGGTCGTATTCCACGGTCAAAAGAAATTCTTTTACTTGGAGATCTTTGCGATACATGTCGACCAGGCGATGAAATTGTATGTTCAATAGACGTTTTTTTTTTCTTTTTTTCTTAAACATCTATTATTCCCAGGAAGTACTTGGTGTTTACCGAAATACATACAATATTTCATTAAATATACAAAACAATTTACCAGTATTTGCAACAATTGTCGAAGCTAATTACATATCAACACGAGAAGATAAAATTTCATTTGAAACACTAACTGATGAAGATATGCAAGAGATTCAACGTCTATCCAAAGATCCTAAAATTGCACAACGAGTAAACGAATAGTGTATAACGTTTTGTGTTTTGTATAGTTCTTACTTCTAGATTTATGCAAGTATTGGACCATCGATTTATGGTCATGAGATGGTTAAAAAAGCTATTACATATGCTATGTTTGGTGGTGAACCGAAAAATCCCGGTAAGTAAAAAAGATTAATTCGTCGTAAAATTGACTGAGATGAAAAGAAAAAGCTTACATATTTGACTAACATAAAAATGAAATCTGACCTGAAAAGTCAAGTGTTCATGAAGTTTTGTTGAAAGACTGATAAAAGAAAAATTTTGAAAGAAAAATCTGAACTAGAATATGATTTTCTTCTGTTTTATCAAAATACACAAGACGAGTATGAGCGACTATAACTTTTCGTGGATATCCATAAAGAAGATATGTGGAATCCTGGTACAGTTAACTAGTGTGATTCTATGTTATTAAAAATTGATTTGTGATGTACTATTCGACAGGTACTGGTACCGATAAATATTCGATAATAGTGTTAAAGAATAGTTATTATACTATTTCCGCTATTGGTCACGAGTTGGACGACATATATATCGTTACCGTGTTTAGGCGGATTCGAACGCATGCCCCTAGATTGCTTTAAGTCTAAAACGAACGAACTGAAAGTTTCATTATTTCTTCTATTCAAGGTGGAAAACATCAAGTTCGTGGTGATATCAATATACTCTTATGTGGTGATCCATCGACAGCTAAATCTCAATTTTTGAAATATATTGAAAAAACAGCACATCGAGCAGTATTTACAACGGGTCGAGGTGCATCAGCTGTTGGTTTAACTGCTTACGTACAACGTAATGCAGTTACAAGAGAATGGACACTCGAAGCAGGTGCCCTTGTACTTGTAAGTTTAGCATACAAATCATCGTGTTTTTTTTTTATTGAATATGCATTTTTTATGGTAGGCTGATCGAGGTGTTTGTTTGATTGATGAATTCGATAAAGTAAATTATTTTTTGTCGTTTAAATAAATGAAAAGAAAAAAATTTTCTTCTGGTTAGATGTCCGATCAAGATCGTACATCAATTCATGAAGCAATGGAACAACAAAGTATTTCAATATCCAAGGCAGGCATTGTAACAACGCTTCAAGCTCGTTGTTCTGTCATTGCTGCAGCAAATCCAGTGGGTGGACGATATGATCCAGCATTAACATTTATGAATAATGTAGATTTATCAGAGCCGATTTTAACACGTTTTGATATATTATGTACTGTACGTGATATTGCTGATCCTGTTCAAGTACGTTTCTTTTTGTCTATCTTTATCATCGATAATATTCGTATCGAATTTTATTATAGGACGAACTAATGGCTCGTTTCGTTACTGAAAGTCACATGCGTCATCATCCATCAGCTGATGAAAACGATGCACAACAAAATCATGTATAATTTTTCTATTGATTACTTTACTTTTTTATTCTACTATTTGATTGGTTGTTTAGGTTATTCCGAATGTTTTCAATGTTGAACCGATTCCACAGGAAATCTTTAAAAAATATATTATTTACGCTAAAAGACGTATTCATCCACGTATGACATCGGTTGATCAAGAAAAAGTAGCTCAATTATACGCAAAACTACGACATGAATCATTAGTTACTGGTAGCGTTCCAGTAACAGTTCGACAAATTGAATCCATTGTTCGTATTGCTGAAGCACATGCAAGAATGCATTTACGTGACTTTGTCAATGATGATGATATTAATGTAGCTATTCAAATTGTTCTTCAAAGTTTTATTGATGCACAAAAGTATGGTATTATGCGAACTATGAGAAAAGTATGTTCCTTTAGAAATTTAAAAAAAAACAAACAGAAATATGTATACGAATGTATTGAATTTTTCATTTTTAGGTATTTCAACGTTATTTAACATATAAAAAAGATAATAATGAATTTCTGCTATTTTTATTAAAACAATTATTTCAAGAAAATTTAGCATTTCAACGCAATCGTTATGGTGCTGATCGTGTTGCATCAGCTGGAACAACAATTAAACTTTCAGAAGAAGATCTAAAGAGTCGGGTATGTTATTATTTTTTTTTAAAGAATTATATATCTATTCTTGATGTTTCTCTAGGCTCGTCAATATAGTGTATTAGATTTGAAACAATTCTATGAATCACCATTATTTCGTTCACATGGATTTAAATATGAAGAAAAATTCATCATACAAGCTCTTTAAATATATATAACGAACATTATTAGATAGATAAATAAATGAATAAATAAATAATCTATATTTTTGCTCTTGTACACATAGATATCTCAGATATTTTTCTGTATTACTCATCATGTTTATTTTTCTTATATTAAATGAAAATAAAATAGAAGTTTATATGTAATTATTTGTTTATGTCTATTACAATAGAGAAAAATAACATGATTTAGATTTCAATTTGAAATGAATATTCAAATATTCATTGATTGTTGGTCGAAAGTAAACTATAATCATTTTAAACTGTCCAAAATAATTTCATGTATTAAATCAGTACTAGAAATATTCTATTAATGTTTTTGATTAGTGAAATATCTTGTCCAAATGAATATGAATGTAAGCGACGTTGATTGCTAACTTGTTTTAATTGATACACTTACAATCTTTTGGTTCGAAATGGTTTGCATGTGCTTCATAATTGCCCTTGAATGCAATAATTTTAGAGCTAATTTGTTTTTCTCATTCGGTTTAAATCAGTTTCTTGATCTAAAAGTGTATTTTCATTGAATCGATAGAATTACTCTATTTAATTAACTCTATCTTCAAGGGACAAATTGAATTTAGTTAAACAAGCTCTACTACTCTTCGTTTTTGTTAACTATTTGATCGGTTAGATTCATGTTCAAAACTTTTAATAATTTAAGATGTAGATTAATGTCAAATCAAATGTGAATTTTCGATAAATTATTTTATGAATTGATTTATTTGAATCTATAGAAAACAGTTAACTACTTAAGATTACAACTGAGTTAAATCGGGTATTATGAATTCTAAAATATATTGATTTATACACAACTTCATTTTGGTATTGTCTCATTTTCATAATTACTATGGTAAAACATTCCGAGCAATAGAAGATTTGGATATCTTCATTTTTTTTCCTGCAATCTAACTTGATATTGATTTTTTATATTTCAAAATAATTCACGAAAAACTCACCATAAATTAGAAAAGAAAAATAAGAAAGTCTAAGGACAATCATAATGGTGAAAATCGAGTGTATTTTAACGATACCTAACGACAACTACTAATAAATATTTCACGTTATTTAATAATACAGCTGCTACAAAGACATGTATTGAGATTTCATCCACGACGTCAAAATGAATATACATAGATTCACAGCTGTATTTAATTATCATAAATGTTGACCAAAAGCAATTCTTATAGTCTTGCTATTAGAAGTAAATAAACCAATAGTTATGAAGAAAAAGTTATAATATAAAAACAAAACAAAAATAAAATAAGTACCTGTTGGACGTCGCTTGAAAGTGTTCATTTCTATAGAACAAAAACTAATTACAATGGGTTATTCTCTTTGGCTTCTTCCGCCCAGTAATTCGAAAATAGCTTCATCTCTTATCTCGGCAATTAAATGTCTCGGCTGTTCATTTGCTCCTCATATTACACTGGCTTCAAAAATATCACTCTCTATATCTGTTGAAAATATAAAAGCATCTCTTAATCTCTATTTTGCCAAAAATTCTTTGCCTACTATCCATATCAATACTTTGGACACGGGATCACAATTTTTCAAACGTATATTTCTACGATGTGAAAAGACCGATTCTCTTGTTTCACTTGCTCGTTTTTCAAAGCAAGCATACATTGGTAACAATGAAGACACAGATGATGATTGGACAAACGATTATGATCCGCATATTTCTTTAATTTATGCTGAAAAACAAAATTGTAATGATCAAGAATTGATTAGTCGAATAGATACTTCAACATTGATTGATAAAACATGGCAAGGCGGTAAAATTCAACTAGTTGATACCACCGGAGAATTGTCGGAATGGAAGACAGTTTTAGAATTCGATATTCCAAATAGTGATTAGTTGTTACTTTTTAACAAATTTACTGACAAGCAAATTCACGAAGGTCAGCAAGAGTGGTCAATATGTTCGACTCATCATGATTGAAGAGACTAAACATTCGCTATTTATACAGATAATCTAGCTTGTTGAATTTATTTTTATAAATTGTTTAGAGTGACTTTCTTGTCTTTTTTTTACAGAGAAGTAACATTATATTCAAGTTAATATAGTTTCAGCTTAAATTCACTTTCTACGAATGGCAACAAACATTCTGTTCTATATACAAGTTCAAAAGAAATCTTTGAACAGAAATCCAGTATTGTATTGCACAGTCCACATGACAACAGTTGAATTTGACATCAGAACTGTTCTTTATAGTAGCTATGTTAACGTGAATTCATTTGTAACATCTTGCATAATATAATGGAATGATTTCTAATTAATTAGCTTATTATTCATGCCAATCGAACTATATATAGCATAGTTTAAGGAGAAACGAATAATTTACTCTAGTATAATTACATATAACCATAAATGAAGATTATTCATCTTTTACAAACGTTTTATCACGTTATTCTTTCGAATATCATTGCAATCGTGTACAAAATAAAACGTTAGGATAAAAACAACAGCATTTTTAAATATAAAGAATTTTAACAAGTTTCAAATTTTAAATAAATAATATTAGTAATGTTGAATTTTTCTAAAATCACGTCGACACTGCACTAGTACCAAACATTCCCTATTGAATTGGAATCAAAGGAGTTTTGAGTTTCACTTTGATAGGGAGAAGAACATGTATTTTTTTAGAATAAAAGAATCAAATAAATATTCGAGCAATGACATTGTTACATCTGATCTTTGGGTTAAAAATATGATGTGTTTCATCAGCTAAGAAGCGAACAGTTAACATTGTAATATCAACATATAGATTTAATTAAGTTAATCTTATGATAATTTTATAGTTTATGTAACAATAAAATTTAAATGAACTTTCTTTAAACCATAGAAAATTAGATTTGTATCTGATAATTTTGTGAAACACGATCTGAAAGGAGTGTTGAAGTATATAGAGTAGAAATTTGGACCAATCCCCCCNCTGTCATTAGAGATTAGTAAGACATTCTCATAGTTCATAGGCTTTGATGAATTTAGCTAATACTATACTGTATATTTTTCTGTAAAGATCTATGATGGTTTTTGAGTTCTCTGTAACGGTTTGTGATGGTTTCTAGAGACTCCATACATCATCATACAGGCCTTAATAGAGAAGCTCCGCAGACCATCACCGACTGTGATTGACGGATTCCAGAAAAGGAGTTTCATCGCGTTTCACATTTTAATCCTACAGGGATTGCGCTAACAGTTTTTTATTTAGTTATAAAAAGCTCAGCTTACTTCATCCTCTATACTTGTGAAAGAATCATGCCAGTAGTTTTGACAGTGTAATTGTCTACTTCGCTTCGTCACAGCTATAATAAATAAAATATCACATATCGAATTTTACTACTTGTCATTGAACATCATCGAAATGACATAATTACTACTTTTTTTCATGAAAGCATTTATAGATTTTGGAACAAATACTGTTGCAAGGTTCACTAGAAATAATCTTAGCAATAGAAAACAAATTAGACTTTCAAAAGATGAAATGAAAAATATACAGTATAGTATTAGCTAAATTCATCAAAGCCTATGAACTATGAGAATGTCTTACTAATCTCTAATGACAGCGATAGTTGATCCTCTTTTGAACAACTAATAGCCAGTGTATCTAATATTTTAGGTATGTTTGTTTCAAGAAAGACAACGCGTTCAATCTTATGAACGAAGTTTGTCATCAACATAGAGTACACAAGATTTGCTATAAAGTTTAAATCTAATAAGATGAATTCTTGATTTAATAAATAATTAAAAAAGAAGTTTTCGATTGGTATTTTATTTTTATGCCGAATGATAAACTATATCCATATATTAGAATTTATCAATAAAAGTTAAGATCAATATTTCAATTTTTAAAATCTATAATCGTCCGTAGATTATTCTATCACGCTTTATATTGAAATTTTTCCGCAAAAAATAACATCAAAGCTGGAATTCATATTATTATGTTTGTTCGATTGGATGAAACAGTGCATAGCAACGATGGACGCAAACGTTAAAATTTGATAATATTTATGTTCTTAAAATTTTGAATATCAAGATAACATTTACTCTCGTTATGAGCTATGATATGGCACATCCTTCGTTACCGATGCAAATAGAAATCAATTAATTCTCGTCTTAAAATAAATAGAACAACAGTTTAGGTGAATATTGGTATGAAAACGTAATTATTTACCTGATGTTTCTTCATCGATTAAGAAAAGTTGAAAATAAAAAGTTGAACAGTTCACTCCGACATATTTTATGTCAGCAGTCATTTTTGAGACTTCTATATTTCAGTAAATCAATCGTATATAAAGACGAAATTTTAGCGCTAGTAAATTAAAGAACAATAAACTACTACCTATGCATTTAGCTGGGAAGAAGATTACAGTAACATGTTCAAGTCACAATTCATTTGTCCTAGTTGACACATATATATGCATTCTTGCATTCATGTTACATGTCTCTGATAATTTGGTAAAAATATGTACAGTACATTAAATATTCGTGCAGTAGTATTGATGGGCGATATAAGATTATCACGGAATCAAAAAATAAACAATTAGATTAGAAACAGTGCTGGTAAGAAACTAAATGTTTGAAGGCATCGTCACAGATACTACGGATTGTCGCGAATGTGGATAAGTATTGATGTTTTTTTTGCGAATGATGCTGTCATTCACGCTCAGATGGTTTCTAGTAGGACAAGTACGAGCGAAAACAGATCCTTGTGATTACAACGCCAAAGTTAGAAACTGAAAATTACTAGGAAAACGAATGCCCTCTAACTTAATGGAGTATTGCAAATATAAATTATAACATGCAATAGATTCTTCAAATGGAGCATTTTGAAATCTGTGCTCATACCATTCTCTCAAACCTGTATCGACACAAATATAGCTCATCAATCCACCACAAAATAATTAAATTTGATGTTCTCTTCTATGAATCCAAACATATTTGTGTAATTATATAAACCGCTAGTCACATGAAGTTCTGCCAAAAAGCCAGTCTGAATATATTAGCTAGTGATTATATTCGGAGAGTTTAATTACATTGACACGAACTTTTTATCATATTAAATAAAACAAGGCAGAGATAGAATCGTTTTAGATTTTTGAACACCATTACCAGTGCCATCTCTGATATTAGCGGTAACGGATTCCAAAATGAACTGTTCTAAACGAAATATATGATTTTGAAACACTATTTTCTGTTTGAAATCATTGGATATGATATAATCAAAATATAGAAAATGCAAAGAATATTCTCGTCACTCATATAATTTTATGGTTTGTTCAAAGTGTCAAGACCGATATCATCTAGCCTAGTTAATATTATCTAGGTGAATCGTCGAAATAGCATCATGATATACTTCAGTATTGGTTGTTTTCTCGAGCAACGATCAATAAAAGCCTCAAACCATTAAATTTTAACTCAATTTGAATACAATTAAGGATAATTTGTTAGTTTTGATTAATCTGCTATTATAACCAATACACATGTTACCAAAATATAAAAGAAGCGTTAAGATATAGACAAATCCGGTTATCTCAAGTTTAGTTTTCGCTGTTATTCATAGTTTATCGCTGGCAACTTTTAATAGTCATTGATGAAGCGTCTTCTTTGTAATTAATATTAGCGATAGCGTTTGTTCTTGTTTTTGTCGTTGATATTCGTGATCAATTCCTCGGAACTACTTGTAATAAACAAACGCTGTTGCCAATCATATATACCAATTGCTGGTCCTTGCCTTTGCAAATGATTCATTAAACCAGATTTATCCTGAGTAAAGACACTAACTGGAATATGACTTAAACCATTATTGTTGAGAAATTGTAATAGATTAAGTGGATTTTTGTTTTCGTCTCTATAGTACCCACGACAAATTACTTGGAAAGTAGATGATGATCTAATCCTTTCTCTCAGTCTTGAGATATGTGCTTCTCCTTTTGAATATGTTTCACAGAAATCGACTTTAACATCTCCACCAGCCGTAAACCGTTGCTCTATTTGAGCATTTGCATTATTTTTGCTATCTATCCAAAGAATAAACGACATTTGAACTTCATTCTTTGGCAATACTGGTGTACGATCGGGCCTGATGACATCGTCAGTCGGCAATGAGCCCCATACAAGAGGAAGTGTTTTTCCTTTACTCCACAAGTTAGCAAAATAGTTGAAAGTATCATTTAATTTCCAGAAAAATGTGAAATCGAAATCTTGATAAGGATAGTTCGGTGGAATGTAATATGGCTTATTCTTATCAATGTTCCAATCGTATGGATTCACAACATCTGTAGTTGTACGACGAGCCGAGTCGTTATCGACTAATTGGATTGTATGTAAATCTTGGCATAGATCTTTGTTACACATATATTCATACGGTATGTAGCAATAGCCATTGTCACCCTAAAATCAAATGAATACATTCGTTTTTACAGTTTGAAATGATTTCATATTATTTTATTTCGTGTCATTCGAAATAAGCAAAAACAGGAAGATTCGCTGCACGGCTTGTCTGCAACATGCAAAATACCTGTAGGGTATAGTCTGAGTCTTATTTCATACCTACAATGAGTGTACGTCCAGAAAAATATATGTTGCAGCCACGCCTACACTAGTCCAAAACACCCTTGAACGCCATTATGCCTACACTTTTTCTATATGCATTTTAATAGAATTAGATGACTGGGACGAAGTGTCTTGATTGTTAGAGAAAACAGTTAACTAATACTCACAAAAAATGCTTATTACAATATACGCTCTTATGATATATTAACATGTTTATATTACTAGAATATCTGAGAGTACTTTCTACACTCAAATATTTTACATCGTTTTAGAGAGCACTCAGTGTGAGAGTTTTCGGGAAAAACTAAATCTTATAGCATGAACGTTGTGTGAGAAATTGGCCAAATACTGTGAGGTCAAGTGTTTGTTGAATATTCATTTCGCTTTGATCTAGATGCATCAGAAGCAGACCAATACATTTCACTACGGCCTGTTATCATCTCCGACAGTCTTTTATTTTGAATTTGGATTTTATTTTCTTCAGGTCCCCTAGAGCAGCTAATCTCTGCTAGATTATCTCTACATACAAACTGCACTTCACAAGCGTCATAAAATTCTACAATACCAGCATCAAATGAACAACTAAACTTCACGTTAGTTATGAAGAAATATTTTTCCGCACTTTGGTTGGCCGTTAGATATTGCCAAAGCTACGAAAAAAACAAGTTATTCACAACGTCGCAATCTCCCTTGACAAAAAATAGAAGAAACACAAAAATTTCTTTCAAATATCGTGCTGATTCACTTATGCCCTACACTTTACTATGAAGATTAAGACGTGCTTGATGATATATTTAATGAATATCAATATGAAAACCTAATGAATCTGCAAACACAATCGCAATATTCTGCAAAACAAACGATAAACTTACCCAACTTTTACCCCATGAGTTTCGAACAATGAAACATCTTGATAGATCGCTATATCCCACTGCCAACATTGCGTGCCAGCCGTGTTGTTGATTTTGTTTCTCATAATATAGATTCGGCATTTCGACACGACCTCCATTTTTTCCGGCTCTTAAAAACGATTGAAACGTTTCAAGACCGAATGCAAACGGATAACCCTCAGCCAAGCATCCTCTCATTTCATTCAAGTCAACAGCTACAACCAGAGCTTCTTTGATTTTATATTTTGCAGCTTCTATAAAGCAGTGTTCCGGTGGTCTCTTATTCAGATTTGCCGAGGTGTGTGGGAACATTTCTTCTTTGCAGCAGCCAAAACGTTTTAAGCCCATAACTGCACTACTTAAATAAGTTCCAATATCCTCCAATTTATAGGCATTTGGATTATCTATCTTCTGACCGTTGTAGTATATAAAAAGACGACTAATGTTAAGAGCTTTTTTTGTATTTTTCATTATCAAAAATTCATATGAACCTAGAAGAATATTCATGTGTCACTTAAGTATGATCATAGTTATAAAATACCTGCTAGTGCATTGCCAACACTAAAATAATAGATATTTTCTTTTTAAAGAAATCAGTCGACAAGGTAAACATGAAATAAAAGCAATCACATATCGGAATGAAAAATTGGTATGCGACACAATAACAACAACAAGAAACATTATGGATTCTCTGTTGTGTTCGCGTGTCAGGAAAAAGTGCAAAAAAATACTAACCATGAATTAAAATCACCTTGGCTGACAACAGGCGTCATTAGTTGTCGAAGATCAACTGATGAAGGCAATTCTTTATTTGAAAGAGTTCTTGATGATCCAAACGTTGGCAGAGTTGATGGCTGTTGACTAATCAAGCAGCCTCCAATCGGAAAACGATTTCCTGTTTCCGGATCAATTAGATATTTGGATTCAGCCATATGCGCGCACATGTTCTCAATAGTCTACAACAAAAAAGAAAAGAATAATTTCATCCGGAATTCTGATCTACTAAGATGTTCATGTTAAAACTGTTGAACAAAACAATCAAAACTGAGCCATGATGTACTTCAGTATTACTTGCTTTCTCGAACAGCAATCAATTGAACTCTCAAGGAATTAAATTCAACTCAATTCGAATACAATTACCGGCAATTTGTTAGTTTTCGCTCAAATGTTATTATAGCTAATGCACGTGTTATCAAAATATCAAAGAAGCATTACATAAGATATAAACAAATTCTTTATCTCAAGTCTAGTTATCAATTTCGTTCATATAGTTTGTCGCTGTCAACTTTTGACAGTCATTGATGAAACGTTTTCTGTATAATTAATACTAGCGACGGCGCTTATTATTTTTTCTATCTATGGCTTTTGCGGTCAACTCCTCAGAACTATTGGTAATAAACAAACGTTGCTGCCAATCATGTAAACCCATCGCTGGTGCTTGTCTTTGCAAATGATTCATTAAACTAGATTTGTCCTGAGTAAACACAATTACAGGAATATGGCTTAAACCATTATCGTTGAGAAATTGTAATAGATTAAGTGGATTTTTGTTTTCGTCTCTATAGTACCCACGACAAATTACTTGGAAAGTAGATGATGATCTAATCCTTTCTCTCAGTCTTGAGATATGTGCTTCTCCTTTTGAATATGTTTCACAGAAATCGACTTTAGCATCCCTGTCAATCGTCAATCGTTGCTCTATATGAGTATTTTCACTGTTGTGTTTATCTATCCAAAGAATAAACGACATTTGAACTTCATTCTTTGGCAATACTGGTGTACGATCGGGCCTGATGACATCGTCAGTCGGCAATGAGTCCTTTACAGGAGGAGGTGTTTTTCCTTGATTCCACAAGTTAGAAAAGTAGTCGAAAGTATCATTTAATTTCCAGAAAAATGTGAAATCGAAATCTTGATAAGGATAGTTCGGTGGAATGTAATATGGCTTATTCTTATCATCGTTCCAATCGTATGGATTCACAACATCTGTAGTTGGACGACGAGCCGAGTCGTTATCGACTAGTTGGATTGTATGTGCTTCTAGACATAGCTTTGTGTTACACATATACTCATACGGTATGTAGCAATAGCCATTGTCACCCTAAAATCAAATGAATACATTCGTTTTTATAGTTTGAAATGATCTCAAACTCTTTGATTTTATGTTATATCTGAGGATGTAGATTATCCTTTGTAATGTTCGAAACAAAATGAAATAACATCTGTGAGTAGGACAACATCTAACAGAGTTAGAATTTTTCTTCACGGATGATATTGAAAAAGTGACGCTTTCGTTAGAATAGTTTAGCTATTGATAAGTATAATTATTAGTTTTAGACAGTACATCTAGAAGGAATGAATCGAATGAAGATACACGTAGATCTGTGGAAAAATATTATCATTTTGAGAAAAGTAATTCATATATTTTAATTTTTCATCAAATTTAATTACGATTTCATGACAATTTGTTCTAAATTTCAGTGAACTCTGTGGACTTCTGTAAACCTTCGCTAAGAAACCGTTTTAAGCTTCATGGGAGAAAAAAAGAGTCCGTATCAAAATACTGAAAACGCCAGGTTTCAAACGAACGCTCTATTGTTTAATGCAAAAAGCTTTACAATTGAGTCTCAAACGTCAATGATTTCGTAGGAAAGTTTTCGCCGATGTGCTCACTGGAACAACCCCTTTAGGTTTCGCAGCTCTTGTGAAGCTTAGAAGGGTTCGATTGTCCATCTATTTATTTTAGAGAACAGTATTCATTGATATTTCCAGTTGAACTAAATACTACTTAAAACAATGCATTAGAATGACCAATGCAAGATTCCTACTACATAATTAACATCGACAAAATTTAGTGGTTCTGACGAAAAATATATTAGATTATCGATGTTTTAATAGAAAGTAAGGGTGTCAATTTACAGTTTATTTTATTTAACTTTAACTTCTCGAAAAGTTAATTTAATTTAATTTAAAATTAAATTCTATTAAATTAAAATCTAAAATAAATTGAAATTTTTTGTTTGATACAAAAAGTTAAATGTAAATTAAATTTTTGGGCTGAAAAATCATTTATATTTAATAAATTGTTTGAACGATACTCATCATTGTTATGAGGAAAATACGCGACTTTAACAGTAGCAACTACTAAATGAAAGGAGAACATAGTATTTTAGGTTAATATTTGTTCATAATAGTCAAAATTTCTCTACAGATTATGCAGGATCCATCATCTTTCTTCTTCAAAATACCGAGGTACTCATAAAAATATATTTATTAGCACAATTTGCAGAAGAATGACTAGCTTTAATTTTAGAAAACAAGAAACATACTCAAATTTGCCTTGAAATAATATCAATCAAGTCAAAAACTATTTTTATCTACCAGTTTTTAAAATTTAATTAAATGCAAATTTTGGACAATTTATTTCTCGACTTAATAATTTTTTTTAAATTAAAATGTCATATCCCTAATAGAAAACTTATCTAACTAAAAACAAATTAGAAATTAGATCCATCTCATCTCATCTGTAATTCATATTATATTAATATTTGAATTTTGAAAAAAAAACTTCCACTGTTACAGTAAAGCAATTTGCCTACGTAATGTCACTTTGTACTAGCAAATAGTGAAAAAGATATATTTTTTAAATTATCCATCTATTTTGTTTATCCATGCGTACTTCATCATGAAACCTTAGACATAGTTGCAGAATGATTTGTTGTATACCAACATGAAAAACAATGAATGTATGTTAACAACACTGTAAAAATCTGAGAAACCAACGACAAACTTACCCACTGCTGACCCCATGAGTTCCGAACAATGAAACATCTTGATGCGTCACTGTATCCCACTGCCAACATCGCATGCACTCCATGATCATCGTTCAGTTTTTCGCGATATAGATCTGGGATGAGGACGCGTCCGTTATCTTCTGCTTGCTCAAACGATTGAAACGTTTTAATACCGAATATAAATGGGAAACCCTCCGCTAGGCATCCTTTCATTTCATTAAAATTGACATCTACTCTCATAGCCTTTTTGATTTTATATTTTGCAGCTTCTATAAAGCAGTGTTCCGGTGGTCTCTTATTCAGATTTGCCGAGGTGTGTGGGAGCATTTCTTCTTTGCAGCAGCCAAAACGTTTTAAAGCCATAACTGCACTAATTATAGAGGTACCACTATCCTCCAGTTTATAGGCATTTGGACTATCTATCATTCGAGCGTTGTAGTATATAAAAAGACGACTAATGTTAAGAGCTTTTTTTGTATTTTTCATTATCAAAAATTCATATGAACCTAGAAGAATATTCATGTGTCACTTAAGTATGATCATAGTTATAAAATACCTGCTAGTGCATTGGCAACACTAAAATAATAGATATTTTTTTTAAAGAAATCAGTCGACAAGGTAAACATGAAATAAAAGCAATCACATATCGGAATGAAAAATTGGTATGCGAAACAGTAACAACAACGAGAAACATTATGGATTCTCTGTTGTGTTCGCGCGTCAGGAAAAAATGCAAAGAGATACTAACCATGAATTAAGATCACCTTGGCTGACAACAGGCGTCATTAGTTGTCGAAGATCAACTGATGAAGGCAATTCTTTATTTGAAAGAGTTCTTGATAATTCGAACTTCGGCAGAGTTGATGGTTGTCGACTAACCAAACAGCCTCCAATCGGAAAACGACTTCCTGATCTTGAATTAACTAGGCATTTCGGTTCATTCATATGCGCACACATGTTTTCAATAGTCTATAACAGGAAAGAAAAGAACTGTTTCATGCATTATTTTCATCAATAAAAGCCATTCTTGCGTTTTCTTCTAGTGATTATTGTACTTTAGGTAAATATATTATGTGAAACTTTCTATGATCTACCATAATTTGTTAAAATATTTCTCAGACTCACAATCTGAAAGAGATAATTTCTTATTCATGTGTGGGCAACTACAGGTTTTAAGTGAACATTAGACAAATAATTCATAGGTAAGATAAATGAATAATTTAAGAGGAAAACTATCGTTTAGGTCAAACATACGTTACATCTAAAAACCAAGATTAGTTCTATTTAAACTGTACCAGAACTCCAAAGCAAGGGAAAAGAAAAATAATGAGAATGATGTTAATTTCTATACGGAAAATGATTTTGAAGTTTTAACTGGTGTAAATGCGGGCATGATTTACGCTCCGCATGATAAATGAATAAGAAAAGAGTGTTTGGAACTTATAGTATGTACTAAATGTGAAAAGAAAAAATTAATGGAATGTGGATAATGCTAGACTTTGTCGTTGGGTTATGGTGAGCTGAATGTTTATTTTCCTATCGTTCTCGACTGAATGATTATTACTTCTCGCTTTATAGCTGTGTTTTATGCACGGTATCCGAAACAATGAGATTAGGGATGGATGTGTTTTTTCAATACAAATTTGACGGAATCTTTCTCGTGGTCTATTGTTTCTTTCATTAGACTCAAGCGCTATAATTAAGGCATTGTTAGATGATTAAGAGTGGTATATGAGAGTCTTCATATAGAGTTGGGTACTGGTATCAGCTTTTATAATGGTCTAAGTCACTTGTGATTGATAGGTTTTTAAAGAGAGGAAGGTGGTTCCTGAAGAACCTCATCGAATTTGTGAACAATTGTTTTCGGAGAATTCTCTTCAAAACAAAGAACGTGATTGATGAAAAAAAGAGTGATGTTTGATGTTTGGTAAATATTTCTATAGCACACAGCAAATTCTGTAAACATTGACATCTTTTCTAAATAGTGACGATGAAGAGTTTGATATAGATATACAATACACAGATTGGCTTATATATAGATCGTGCCGAAGCTGCACTGTTTGCCATAGTACAACTTTGACGTAATCTTTTGTCGGAGCTGTTTCAAACCCCATCACAAGACATGAAAAAATCTTCTTCGATGCAAGTTACCCTAGATATTCGCCATTAAATGATCAGACGCCTGAGAGCTCATAATTTTCTAACTGAAAATAATAGTATAAGACAATACTTCTTGTTAGTGTTATGCAACAGAATTGTTTCCTAGCTGCAAGTTAATTATTTTTAGATATATGGCTACTTTGAATATTTTCTCATACATCCTGACAGAAAATTTTCGATAATTCCATTTCAGCCTATTTTGCTATAAATACATGATTCTAAACCATGTAGTTTTACACCTTTTTATCCTAGATTCCAATTAGAGTCCTGCAGGTTAAGACTTTTTTGTACCCTAACCCTGCCCTATCGTAAAACTTCGTACCCTTGTCCTACCCTGCCCTACGACGTTCTTACCCTATCCCTACCCTGCCCTATAGACTTCGTAACCTTGCCCTACCCTGCCCTAGGGGCTTTGTACCCTTACCCTACCCTATCACAGAGATTTTTCATTTTAC